CTCACTTCCTGTTTTATTCTGATAGTTTCTTGTCTCCACTGTCTTGTTTAGTTTTACGTCTGTTATTCCTGCTGTGGTCACTTCTCAGCGTTAGCATCTGATGGACTTTTCACCCCCGTTTTGTGTTATTGTCTGGTTTTATCTTACACTATAAGTACCTGGAGGCAACTTTTGTCGTCATTTTGTGCTACACAAATAAAATTGAAGTGTAGTTTATCCATCACCATGTGTTTCCATTTGGGTCCTAAACTCTGCAATTCACGACACATTCATTGCTGCATTGTTCATTCATTTAGTATGAAGTGTGAGGATGAATATCTGTCTTTAAACTCAGTAAAGTGCATCTGAACAGTTCAGCCATGCACCGTAAGCTGCTCGTGTACAACCCAGTTCCTAAAAGCACTGTGTGTACATTTAAACAGAATACAATGATATGCACATATCATAAACTCACATTTAACTCATAATAAATGTGGGAGACAATGAGCCCTCAGTTTGACTTTGATGGCAGAGGCATGTCTCAAAAAGTTGGGAAGGATGAGTGGAAATGGAGGTGGTGCTAAAACAAAACAGGTGGAGGAAGATTTGGCTACCACTCTGGTTATTTGGAAGCAGGTCAGTCACATGATGAGGTATAAAAAGAGCATGTTGGAGAGGCAGAGGTCCAGCAGTCTGAAAAAGCTGCATCTATAATCGGTACTCTAAGGAACTTGGAAAGGTGAGCTGGAGCTCTTTAAGTTTCTTCTTCTTTAAGAAGAAGTTTCAGCTTCTTCAGCTGTAACACCAAACGGTGGAGGGTCCCAGGTATTTAAGCGCTAGTGGGCGTGTCCCTGGGAGGGTCGCTGACCCACTGCCGATCATGTGACTCATCAAATGAGCCAAGGTGTGAAAAAGGGCACGGGTCATTATCAGCCAAGGTTTCAGGTGAAACCATTGTGAGACCCTGCCCACACTATCATGTGACCTATTGAGGTCACCTGATGCAGGGTGTGAGTGGGCGTTAAAGCGTCTAGGAAGGATCTCAGACTGGATTATAGATGGAAGACAGTTGGTGTGCTAAGCCCCGCCCTCTGTCCAAAGATGGTCATTCACAGTGAACATAGATGCTTCCTTCACTCCTCTTTCACTCCGTCTGTCTTCTCTGTCCAACATGTAAACATTGGCGTCCTCAAAGAGTGACCTTTGACCTTTAGATGCAGATGAACAGCCGAGTCTTGACCCCTCGAGGTGGCTCTTCTGTGTTGTGTGTTTATGAAGTGTGTGTCCAGTGTAGACGTCCGAGCGCCCCTCTCTGCACAGCTGGTTTGTTGAGTTTGTGATGAACCAGTGTGTGGCTGAGTGTGTGTCTGGATCTGAAGTACACTGGGATGTCGTGCTGGGAGAAGACTGTATCATCAGTATAGTAAGAGGAATGTGTGCGTGCAGAGACGAGGCTGATAACTGCAGTGGCGCTGCATTAAAAACACGACTCTGTGATAAATCAGCGCACGGCTCAGGAACACTTCCAGAAGCCGGCGACTGTGAGCAGCTCAGCGTGCCGTCCACCAGTGCAGGTTACAGCGCCATCAAAGTCCACGTGACCGGCATGGAGAAACAGCACCGACCCGTTGATTTGGATTGTTACTGACATCCGGTGCATCTTTAGAAATATATTTACTGATATTTATTTACCTGCTGTAGGTGTTCCTAAGAAATATTCCCAAGTATAACTCAAGACTAATCGGATAGTTGTTGGCTTGATTGCTGGTTGCTTCACTCTGCATGCCAATCTATCCTTGGGCAGGATGCTGAACCTTGAGTTGCTCTCCAGTGCATGCACCTGAGTGTGAATGTTTGAAACCACTGAAGTATAGAAAAGTGCTTGTGTGAATTTACCATTTAATCCAGTCTCCCGTGTGTTTTTCTCTCCAGAATTGTTCCTGAGAGGAGAATTGTTGTGGTTGGAAAGATTGCAGCAGGGACACCATCTTAGGTGGAGAAGTGTGTGAGGCTGAACTGTCTGCAAACAACTCAATGAAAGTACCTCAGACACAAACATTTACATTTTTATTAGCGAGCACCTAAAGTCCAGGAAGTCTTAAAAAAACAGCTAACCGGAGCAGCTCTGTTTGATTTGTAGCTGGGCAGGAAGTTATAAGCTCATGTAGCTTAGCATGTTAGGCTAAGAGTCAAACAACTGACAGACAGCAAACAGGGAGGTTTGACAAAAAGCTCCTTTAATTCTGACTTTTATTAAGAGTTCAATCTGAAACATTCAGCAGATGCTAATCTCAGTGAAAGTCAAACACATTCAGTGAGCGTGTACGGACAGCATGTGTGATGACGGTTGCAGCCCTTTAGCCCAGACTTTGAAGCTGCCGAGGATGAACCATTTCCTGTTTCCAGTCCAGGCTGATAAAGCGCACCGCAGCTTTTTAGGAATCATGAACGTTCTGCGATCAACACCCCACTGCGTTACCCAGTGGCTGCACGGCCTTTCTGTTATCGGGGGTTTAAACAGCCGTCACTGTACTCCTACACGCCAAACAAAAGCACCCATCTGAACACCTTCAGAGCCACACCTGCAGCTTAAACCTGAAGACTGCGTGAACCTCTGATTAAAGGGTCATTCTGCTTGATTTCAGTAAAGAAATGCACGAGACTCATCCCGTTAATTTTAGAAATCCATAACAGCCAACGACTGTTTCAGTCTGACTTTACAATCATTAAAAACGGGCGTTATTATCCACTCAATATTTGCAGACTCTATCCGATGGTCTGAAGTCAGAGAGAGCCCGATTAGCTTGAAGGTTAGCTTAGCAGTGAATCAGGTGTGGTAGATTGTCCTCCTAGGTGGGCGGAGTCATTAAACAGATAATTCTTCAGGGTCTGACAGCAGTGATTGTTATCAGAGTTTCAGGAACATGTGTATGTGTTCTTCTGTGTGGTTTCACTGCAGCTCTGAAGGTTTGTACTGGGAAATAATGACTCTATCATGGATACACAGTCGGTTTCACATTTAAACACTTCCAACACGAGTGCTGGATGGACTTTGAGTCAATGACCCTGGACCTTCACAAAGCCTGTATAGCTGATATGTGTGTTTAACACAGGGGTGGGCAACTCCAGGTCTCAAGAGCCGGTGTCCTACAGGTTTTAGATATCAACCTGGATATCGCACCTGAATCAAATGATTAGGTCATTACCCAGCCTCTGGAGAACTACAAGAAATGTTGAGGAGGTCATTTAGCCATTTGAATCAGCTGTTTGGATCAAGGACACATCTGAAACCTGCAGGACACCGGCCTTCGAGGTCTGGAGTTGCCCACCCCTGGTTTAACATTTTCTCTATGAAGGATCACCACGAGCAGTCAGTTTGTTTTGGACATGTACAGCCTTCAGTCTAGGACCTGGGTGGACCTGGGTGGACTTCCTAAAAAGGAGTGGGCAGACATGCAAACACCAGACTGGTTTCAGATGTTGGTGGAGATTCAACATCAGTTTTGATACTCTTGGATTTCTGAAGGCCTTCAGCAAAAATTGTGAATGGACATTGTGTCCAACAAAGATCAGGACCAAAGAGATAGACACAAGGTTTTGTTTGCCAAAAGATAAATGTGGTCTGCACCACGGAGACTGAGACTTAAAGACTTTCAATAACAATCCCGGATTGATGCCCTCAAAATGAAACTTGAGTGGATGTTTTAAAACCTCTGAATTAAGTTTGACACAGATGTAGAATCCACAGTACATTTACACATCAGTGGACATCAGTGGACATCTAAAGACTCATATATGTTCCCATATCACTCAAAGGATTTTTGTTTTTCGTTTAAAGTCCACCATCAAATTGGACCTGCAGTACCAAGGGTGTAGAAGAGAGGCCAGCCCAAAAATCACAATCAGATCTGTGGATGAACAAAAGAATAAAAGTTCTAGACAAAAATCTGTAGTTGGACATCCAGACAAACTTGAACATCAGAAACACCCCGGAAAAAACCTCCCAACGTTCCCGCACCGATAGTCTTACATAACATTTTCTGAATGTCCACACATGACTATGACAATTCGTTTCCCAGTGCTCACCTGTAGACGAGGACCCGAGTACCTGTCTTACACAGCCACCAAACAGGGTCCTGCATTAGAACCATGATTACAACACTTCCAAAGTCTTTTAAGGTTTCTGCTGAATATTCAGTTTTCACTGAGATGTCCTGATTCTGGACCAGAAGTCTGTAGACTTTCAAAGAGAAGACATCAGTGTGCATAAAAACAAAACAGACAATAAGAAAGAATAATAAATGAATGTATGTCCAAATTTCATAACCAAACTGTACACAGATGTTAAATGAAGTCCCAGCCTGACCTCCAGATGCTAAACCTGCAGAGACCATGACAGGTGAAAGATGTGTCTCTACCCTTGACACCGGCGTACCAGTTGGTGGGTTGTTGGTGTTTCTGTGTTGGTTTAAAGCCAAAAGGACACACGATGAGGTCAATGTCATCGGATCAGCTGACAGAGTTCAGCAGTGTCTCTTTTATCACATGAACAAGTCCAGAGTTTGTCCAAAAATATAAATAAATAAATAAAAAGTCTTTGTGTCTGTCCTGATATGCAAACAGGACGTAGCCAGTCCACTTTCACACATTCACCCGAGTCCACCTGAGCACAGGTGTGTGGTCATCTCTCCCTTCACACTCTCCTTGTGTTTATCATCACTGTAGATCATGTTACAGTTTGGTCCCATTTTTTATGTCTTTGTTTAAGTGTGAAGAGAGTAAATTTACATTTACATCCAAAAAAGTCTCACAGGTGTTAAATGGAGGCCGTGTTTGCCAACAGGTAACGTCCAGAGCTAAATCAGGTAAGCTGATGGCCCACAGAGCAGGATATAAATAACACAAATGCTTATTAGTGCTGCTGATGGTATTCCTTTAAACTCCTCCTCCTTTTATTCTGGCTGAACATCTGATGTGGACATTAAAAACTTCCTATGAGAGAAACTGTTACACCCTGAACGTTAACATCACCTCCAGGGTTTATTCGAGCTTTTTGATTCACGTCCTCCAACAGTAATGAAGAACTTTTCATGCAGATACAGTTAAAGTGATGATTCAGTGCAGTTTGGATGATGGAAATGAGAGTAATCACACCAAAAATGTTCTTTTAAACAAACTAACGCCAGCAGAAGCTTTAAAAAATGCTGCTGGTTCTTTGTTTCTCACACATCTCCTCTCCTTGGATCCGATTGGCCCTTCAGAACAGCACAGCGGGGTGTCCGACGCCATCGTGCGCTCACAGGAAGTTCTCCAGTTCGAGATGACGGCCAACATGCTGAAAACACTCACTGGGGAGCTGAACTCCAGGGGAAGGTGAGGGTTCGCTCCGTGATCTTAGGCTACCAGTGGTGATTCTTGGAGAGGTAGGCGATGAGCGCCACGGCCACGCCCACATAGATACCTGTCCCGATGGTAATTGACAGGACGGCGAGGAAGAGAGCCCGCCTGGAGCTGGAGCTGGCCAGGTGAAAGTCTCCTTTGGAAACTGCCTTGTTGGTCTGAGAGGGACAGAGACGTAAAAACAAGTCAGACAAAGGTTAGCTCCTTATTTCGTCGCTCTCGTGTGACACGAGCTGGGAAAAGAAACACAAAACACAGAAAACTGCACCAAGGTGAGCTAGAACGGCAGTTACAGTGGGAAACTGGGCTAAAGTATCCACCCATCCATCCACTGTGGGAGGAAGCCGGAGAGAAACCATGCAGGAACAAGAAGAACATGGAAAAGTCTGGCAGGCTGACGGCTTCAAACCTTCTCACTGTAAGGCAACTCCGCCAACCACTGCTGATGTTATAGGAGGATTCAAGTCTCTGGTTGATCTGATATCCTCGTGTTGGTGTTGTTCCCAGATCATCATACTAAATGTTGTTCCAGGATCAACACTGCAAGTGACCAATCAGAATGTGGTGACGTCATACTTTTGCGACTTCGGGAAAAACTGCCGTAAAACAAAAAACTGTACTTAAGCTGCGAGAAACCGCCTCTGTCTGCCGATCAACGGACCCTGACCCTAAACAGTAAGCAGAACTGATATTGTCCTTGCAACATTGGAATTTCATAAATGCACGAATGGCTTGGCGCGCAAAAGAATAACGTCACAACAATGTGATTGGTCACTTGAACCTGGAACAACATTTTCATGATGGTCTGGGAACAACACCAACACGAGGATATCAGATCATCCCAAGTCTCTAGTCCAGGTACGCCTCAGTAATTGTTACCGATCAGAATTTTTCCTCTGGTTCAATCAGGTCAATCAATCAATCAAAATTTATTTATATAGCACATTTTTAAGACCGAAGTACACCAAAGTGCTTTCCATTAAAATCGCAGTACAAATAAAATCACAATAAAATATAAATTACAAATATATAAAATATAAGATAATTACATTATCTAAATACAGAGCCAGATGTAAATTACCCTAATTCGCCTTAAATGCCAGATCAAACAAATACGTTTTTAAACATGATTTAAAAGACTGAATGGAATCTGACGCGCGAATATGAAGAGGGAGAGTATTCCATAGCCTGGGTGCAGCAACGGCAAAGGCACGGTCTCCTCTGGTCTTCAGCCGAGACCTAGGTTGCACCAAGAGCAGTTGGCCCGATGATCTTAGTGCTCTCTGAGGGCTGTACAGACAGAGGAGATCAGCTAAGTAGTCAGGTGCCATATTGTTTAAAATTTTATAAGTAAACAATAGAATATTAAAATCAATTCGATATTTGATAGGAAGCCAGTGTAAATTTTTCAGAACAGGGGTGATAGAGTCAAACTTTCTAGTGCCGGTCAAGAGACGTGCTGCGGCATTCTGGACCAGCTGCAGACGCTGCAGAAGAGAAGATTGTAGACCCAAGTAGAGTAAGTTACAATAGTCCAGTCTTGACGTAATGAAAGCATGAATGAGTTTCTCCAGATCTTTGTGTGGTATATAAGGTTTAGCCTTAGAGATTAGGCGTAGTTGATGAAAGCTAGTTTTTACCACAGTAGAGACCTGTTTGTCAAGTTTGAAGGAACTATCCATGAAAACTCCAAGATTCCTGGCAGTATCAGTAAGGTAGTTAGCAACAGGCCCAAATGTGCCAGTCAATTGTCCCAGAGGCATATTTCGGTCAAAAACAATAATTTCTGTCTTCTTTCCATTTAAAAGTAAGAAAGTTACGTGATAACCAGTCCTTGACATCACTCAGACAGTCAAACAGAGGATGTGGTGAGGATAAAGCATCCCCAGTCAGGTGAAGGTAGATTTGAATATCATCAGTGTAACAGTGAAAAGAGACATTGTGTTTTTCAAAAATGGAGCTCAAGGGCAACATATAGAGAGAAAACAACACAGGACCCAATACCGAGCCCTGGGGCACACCACAGCGGAAACGGGCAGAAGAAGAGGAATATTTTCCCATCGTGACGGAGAACGACCTCTCAGAAAAATATGATTTAAACCAAGATAAAACATTTCCTTTGAGGCCTACTACATGTTCCAATCTTGCCAAAAGGATATCATGATCAACCATATCAAAGGCTGAGGTCAAATCCAATAGTACTAAGACCGCAGAGCGCCCAGAGTCAGCAATTAAGAGAAGGTCATTAAAGACTCTTAGTAGGGCAGTTTCGGTGCTGTGACGCGGTCTAAATCCAGACTGAAATTTATCACTTATACCGTTTCTCTCTAAATAGGTCTGTAGTTGCCGAAGCACTATTTTCTCTAAGACCTTTGACATAAAGGGAAGTTTAGAAATCGGCCTGTAATTAGCTAGAATGTTACGATCAAGGGTACTTTTCTTGATAACAGGTTGCACGACTGCATGTTTAAAGACATTCGGAACATAGCCAGATGACAGTGAGAAGTTCATTAGAAATAAAATACAAGACCCGATTGTATTCAATGCATCCTTAATGATACGAGAGGGAATAATGTCGTGCAAAGAATTTGAGCTTCTCAGATTATTAATTATTTCCTTTAAAGTCAAAAATGACACAGGTTCGGACTGTTGGAAAACCGTTAAACATTCAGAAGCTGGGGCTTGATTTACTACCAAAGAATGTGTGGCCCTTAACAATGAGATTTTATCTATAAAATAATTTAGAAATTTTTCGCAGAGGGCCGGGGAGGCACCCACTGAAACATCCGAACAGGGATTAACCACTGAATTAAAGATTTTAAACAGGACTCGAGGATTATGGCTGTTATTCGCAATAATGTTAGATAAAAAAGAAGTTTTTGCCATTTTGGCAGCCTTCTGGAATTTAGACCGGCTCATATGCAGGATGTCAAGGGACACCTGAAGTTGATCTTTTTTCCATCTTCTCTCAGCTCGACGACATTCACGTCTAAGAGCGAGGATGGATTCATTTAGCCAAGGTTGGCGTGAGGTTTTACGGCGTCGAATCTTTACTGGAGCCACAGTATCCAAAATAGAAGTACATATAGAGATGAAAGAGTTGACTACGCCATCAACCGAGAGAGGTGCATTACTGATGTCTTCATAACAAAAAGAATTGGCAAAGGCCGCAGAAAAAAGAGCAACAGCCTCAGAATTAATCGGGCGTGATAGGCTCGGTGGACCCTCAGAGTTCAATTCCATATTGCATGACTGAACATCAAACATAACTGGGAAATGATCCGAAATCCCAGCATCATTGATGTCTGTGATGCAAATGTCCAGTCCATACGACAATACCAAGTCCAGCATATGCCCTTTAATGTGGGTTGATTTCCTCACCCACTGAGTGATATTAAAAGAGTCAATAAGGGCAAGAAAGTCCTTAGCCAATAGGTCCTCCTCACAGCATATATGAATGTTAAAATCACCACAAATAAGTACACGATCATAACTTAAGAAAATAATTCCTAGAAGATCAGCAAATTCACGGATAAAGTCCTTGTTGCGCTTCGGAGGTCGATACACCACCGCACAGAGGGTCCGGGGGGAACCGGACAACTCCAGTAGTTGTACTTCAAAGCTGGAGTGCAAGGCGGGAGGCAGTTGCCGCACTCGGAATTTACTTCTAAAAACCGAGGCTAGCCCTCCACCCCTGCCCGCGGTCCTAGGAGAATTAAAGAAAGCACAGTCCAGTGGAAGAAGTTCCGAAAAGGAAGAGGACTCACCAGGGCGAATCCAGGTCTCTGTTAGAAACAGGACATCCAGCCTTGATGCAAGAAAAAAGTGACCTAGTGTTTAGCAGTGCCATACGGAGCGTAGCCTCGTTGACGCTACTGGGAGCACGTCCCAGCCGACGAAGATTACTGTAATCCACACCTCCTCCAGAGATCCGCTTCCAGCTCCATACAGGTGGACACTCAGCTGGTAGAACCGAATGGGCTTGCTGGCCAGCATAGCAAATCCATCGATGACGACACAGTCTGAAGGTATGCTGGGAGGGCCACAGGTTGTCAATAATGGAGCGGTAGCCAATCACTCCATGTGCTTTTAGGTAAGCTTTAATACGAACGCGAAAACCACTCCGCTTACCCTGTTTCCTATATCGTTTCTTGTGCGGTGTAAAAAGAGGCAGGTAATCCGTGCAGGCGGAAGTATGTGGTCGAGGCTGGGAAAAATTCCCTAAGTTCCAATATAGATCTGGCTTTTGGTGATTCAAGGGTCGAAGATTTAAAAGAGTTTGTCGATCATAGGCAATCAGGGCAGTAACATCCGGAAAGCATATAGAAAGTAATAAAACAAAGAGAAAACAACACTCAGGAAGACGGACCCAAAGACGGCTTGCCGTACACACTGGCGCAATCAGGTGATGAAGATCTGTCTCCATCTTCTCTCTGATGAAACCAGCAGCGTTCAGGTCTGAACTCGCCCGCGGAGCTCCGAGCTTAGGGGGAGACTCCACTCACGACGGCAGATAATCAGCTTTACAAAGAGATGCTGAGCAAAACAGCAGCAGAAGAAATGAGATTAAAAGGCAGAGGAAGAGCAGTAGAGAGGACCCATCAGTCTCTCTGCTCTTTAATCGCTTTTTAATAAAGATGATGTGATCAGGGAGCAAAGCATCCTGCTTGGTTTTTGACCTCAGGGGCTCTATTAGATATCTGCTTCATCAGCTTCTGCTTGGATTCCACTTATTGAATGAGTGGACCTGAAAAATGTTGCTAACATGACAGCGATGTGCTGCAGCGGTCCATTCTGACAGTAACCTAAACGTCACACAGGGGGACCAGGCCTCCCACCTGACTGAGTCAGACTGAATCTGAATATTCTTACTGCTTTAATGTGCTATCAGAGCTGGTACTGACTGACATAACAACACTGTGCAGTGTGACTTGGGCGAGTAACAGGTTAAAACACCAAATTCATCAAAGCAAATTTCCCGACTGAGACAGCAGGTTGTTTGTTCTGTTTTATCGGTGGAGTCTGGTATGTGTTAGAGCTCCGAGGCTGATGTTCGCCGTGTGCTGCCAGTGACCATCTATCTCTGTGTCAGGTGACAGCTGAGTTAACTCTGTAAACCTGATTAACTGGCTTGTGGGCAGGAAATAACCACTGTAATCACCACAGTTTCCAGTAAGATTTAATTAGTTTCCATGTCATACCACATGACAGAGGGCGCCAGTGAGCTCAGGACCTCCTGTGACTGGTCCAGTGGGGAGATGCTCCCACTCGGCCCAAATAAAGAACGTGTGTGTGTGTGTGTGTGTGTGTGTGTGTGTGTGTGTGTGAGAGAAGCCAGAGTTATGTAACAAGCTCAAACTGTGTGTGCATGTGTAGCCAGGTTTTACTGGCATTGTGGGGTCCTAAGTGTGTATACGTCACCACATTAGAGAGACGTCTTTCTGACTGGGACAAAAGGGAAATGCTTGAAGACACGCTTTTTAAGGTTAGGGTCATCCCAGTAGTAGTGTGAGTTAATCTCCAGGAAATGAATCTGTGTGCGTGTTGGGCTTGCTCTAAAAGCACCAAATCAGATTATGAACAGGAGCGATTGTTTCAGTCTGCCACGTTTACTCTCAGGACACTTTTCAGCTGTTTGTTCTCACAGTAAAAGTGTCCTGACAGTATTTTCAGAGGGAGTTTCTCTTCTCATCCATCATTAGATAAAAGTCCTGATGTGACTTCATACACAATACATCACACGAGTGTTCACCGTAATCTGTGTGAAAGCTTTGTTATATGTGAGTTCAGCTTGTATCGTCCTTGATTTTAAAAGTTATTTTTCCTGGTGTGCTTTTCTGTGTTTTGACTTGCTTGCCTCTGTTAGCATCAGACTGAGTTTATATTTTTACCCTCTGTACCGGACATGTGTCTAACTGAAGGTCCAGGGTGTTTGACTGCAGTAAATACAATAAAAACTAGTTAAAGGAAACTTGAGGACTAAAGCTCACTGTGGAGCAGATGGTTCAGACACAGCCGTTTAGCATTAGCACGTCCAACGACCTGCTCATTATAAACTCAGGTCGACTGGCTGCAGCCGCTCAGTTACTTTTCCTCAATAAGAAGTCACGTCAGTACGTTTAGAGCTGTAACATCTCCACGGGACTCAAATAAGCATTATTACTGAGAACATGTTGACGAGTGTCATGTTTCCGACCTTTCAGGCACAGTCATCGTACATTTAATGATGCGCCTGTTCTTAGAAAGGCTGTGGGACTTCTTAGTGTTAAAGGTTTGGGACCAAAGAAGATTCTCGTATTTCAAACATGATGTAAAGCTCCCTCTGTGAGTGAGCAGGATCCTCTCCTGTGCGCTCATAACCTTTCAAATATTCCTTTCTTAATGATTTTGGTTTGATGAACCTCTGACAGAGAAAGGACAACCATGCTCCTCCTCCTCCTCTTCCTCCTGCCGCAGTGCTTTCTGTTGTTTCTCACTGACGGATTTCAGTGTGGGAAGGGTTGTCAGTGGCAACCAGCCCAGGCTCCCTTGAAGCTGTAGGTGTGCAGTTGCCATGGAAACCACATATGTGACAACCAGAAAGCTTGTTGCGATGACCCTCCGCATCCGACCAGTCCTGCTTTGTGCACATTCCAGAGCTCCATTTAAACTTTTCAGCATTTTTAGCCGCTTCCTTCAGACTTCCTGCCGTCCAATCAGCAATCGGCAGTCATCAGCCACCATTTTTTGTCAAAAGCCTGCAGAGAGTCTGGAACAGGAAGTTCAAACCTCGTCTACAAACTGTCAGACTGATGCTGGAATCAAGTGATTGTTTTAATTCTCATTCTGGAACTTTCAACGCAGCGTCACTTTAAGCATGACTGGACTGTAACCAGAGAGTGTGACTGTTTCCTGTTTTATTTTGAAATTCCTGGTCTGTGTGTAGCTGTCTGCCGGTTCGTGGGTTTATTCCTTTCTCTGTTCTTCCTGTGTCTGCGTTGCGTTTATGCATAATTTCCTCTCGTTTGAATGTTTCATGGGCTTTCCCTTTCACCTGTTCTCCTTCCTGGATCCTACCTGTGTGAGGTCACAGGAGGCGCCGCATCCGTCCCACTCCTGATTCTTTTAACAAGCTGAGTGAGAGCATCTCTCCTCCTCCAGCTGACTGCAGATCAGTTATATAAGGTGAACTGTGTCAGTGTGTGTAGACGCAGCTCTGAAGTAATGATCCACGCACACACATTGACTCATTACTGTAAATACACAACGGTCACTTGCCACGTTCAGGTCACGTGATTGTTTCATGCAGGTAGTTTATTCCAGCTGGAGGGAATCATGTCTCCATCCCACAAACAGACAAACCACAGCTGCTAACTGTTAGCAGTGACCCCATCATCACATTGGCCATCTGTTACCATTAACGTAGCAGTTATCAGACTGTAGTTAGACAAACATGAATAATTATCGCAGCTGAACGGGTCGTGGATGCAGTATCGATCCGTGTCAGAGCAGAGTACAGACACGCGGAGAAGCGGGGGGGTTGATGCTGTGCAGAGTAGCGGCGGAAGCAGCCGAACGGGACAGAGAGTCCAGAGTGCGGAGAACCAATCAGAGCAATGAGGGCAGAGCAGCCAGTCGGACGCTTTCAGGCCTGATGAGCAGAGCCGAGAGAGCAGAGCGAGGCTGCAGGCGGACGTGGACGTGCACAGGGAGCATGTGCAGTTTACAGCCAATAGTGACGAGATTCTGAGCACTCAGCATGTCTGCCTGTTACCTGATCTGCAGTTTGTTAATTTTGCCACGTTTTATTCCAGAGCTTTAGTCTAAACTCTGTTGTAGGACGACTTGAGTTCTGTTGTTTGTGTTGTTAGTCTTTTCATTTATCCAGCCCTCTGTGCTCCCTGTGCGGTGGTGCGGTGGTTAGCACACTCACAGCGAGAAGCTGCGGCTGACAGGCTGGCTGTGTGGCTCCTCTCACATGCAGTAACAGTGTCTGTATGGTTCTGTGTTGGGCTACGTCCACACTGATGCGTCTTTGTTTGAAAACGCATTGTTTTCTCTCCGTTTTGGCCGCCCGTCCACACTGAGACGGCGTTTTGAAAACGCTCTCGAAAACGCACACATTTGAAGAAGGTGCTCATGCGTCGCAGTGTGGACAGCGAAAACCGAGACTTTCCAAAACGATGACGCGTGTTAGTCATGTGATGCAGTCATGTGACCAAGCTAAGATAGCGGAGGGCGTTACACAGCAGTTGTTTTGTTTGACAGCCGTATTAAAGATTAACATCAGTCTGCACGCGCTCCTGAGAGCTTTTCTTCCTTTTTCTAATTCTCACTCGCTTTTGCAACTTTGTACTTTTGTGTTACTCGCAGCAACGACTCCACCTCATTGTGAGTCCATTTAACAAACTCGGTGCTTTTCCTCAACATTCTGCTGCCACGTTTCAAAGAGACGGAAGTAAATAAGCGGCAGACAGAAATGAGGCAGGGCAAATCTTCTTGCGCTTCACACATGTGCAGCACTGGAACGTAAGCGTTTTCGGCCATTTCAATGTGGACGCACAACTCTGTGAAAACAACTGAACACGCTAGTGTGGGCGCGGAGCGTTTTCAGACGAAAACGCCATTTTCAAATCTATCTGGCCAGCCTTACACACACTGCTTCAGGGTGTACCCTGCATTTCGCCCTCTGGTAGCTCTGTTAAGGACGGATGTATTTAACACTTTAAAGCAGGGGTGAAGAACTCGAGGGCCAGTGTCCTGCAGGTTTTAGACATCACCCTGGGTCAGCTGACTCACATGTTCTTTACCAGGAGAACTCTGGAGAACTTCAAGACATGTTGAGGAGGTCATTTAGCCGTTTAAACCATCTGACATGTCTAAACCTGCAGAACACCGGCCCTCGAGTTCTTCACCCCTGCTTTAAAGCCTAACCTGTTGCTGTGACAAACATCTGTAATCTGAACCATTTGCTCAACTGAAAGAATTCCAGTGGTCTGTGCTTTTTCAGTGATTTAAGGGTTATTACGGTAAACCTAGGCACACTACGTAAAGACGAAGGTTGGTGGAGAGAAGAGTTTTGACCGTCTTTTTTATTGTTTTGTTTTTGCTGTTTGCTGAGATTTGAATCCCTGCCTGGGATTATCATAATGGCCCTAACATCAGTGAAACGCACAGAGTCAGTGCTTTCAGAAACTGCTGCAATTTTGCCATGTTCAAGAGTAATTTGACCTAAAATGCTCCCGCCGGTTTCGGGGGGTTACAGTCTCAGCTTGTGCACTCGCTATTGTTTCCCTCATTCATGCACATTGCAGGTTAAAGTGTTCTGGGTTCAATGCAGCTAAGCCTCTGGCTTCAAAACACGAGAACTCTTTGATTTCCTATTTCAGAGAAATGTTAACATGCAGCTGATCTGAGTCCTCACCTCGTGTGACAGGTAGAAGGCGGCGATGCCGAGCGGCCAGAAGCAGCAGAGCATGGAGAAGACGCTGAGGCCCAGGTGATCTCTGGGAGGCATCAGCAGGAAGGCGTCCTCGCTCTCTGATTCGCTGGAGTAATCGCTCTGATCAAAAACACGAATCAATCAGGAGCAGCTTTTCAGTGTGTAAACGCTTACTCACACACTCACACACACACACACACTCACACACTCACCCTCACACTCACCCTCACACTCACACACACACTCACCCTCACACTCACCCTCACACTCACACACACACACACACTCACCCTCACACACACACACGCACTCACCCTCACACTCACACACACACACACACACACACTCACACACTCACACACACACACACACACACTCACACACTCACACACACACACACACACACACACACACTCACCCTCACACACACACTCAGACACACAGACACACACACTCACCCTCACACACACACACTCACACACTCACCCTCACACTCACACACTCACACACACACACACACTCACCCTCACACACACACACGCACTCACCCTCACACTCACACACTCACACTCACACACACACTCACCCTCACACACGCACTCACCCTCACACTCACACACACACACACACTCACCCTCACACTCACACACACACTCACCCTCACACTCACACACACACACACACACTCACCCTCACACACACACACACACTCACCCTCACACTCACACACACACTCACCCTCACACTCACACACACACACACACTCACCCTCACACACACACTCACCCTCACACACTCACCCTCACACACACACACACACTCACCCTCACACACACACACGCACTCACCCTCACACTCACACACACACACACACTCACCCTCACACTCACACACACACTCACGCTCACACACTCACCCTCACACACACACACACACACACTCACCCTCACACACTCACCCTCACACACACACACACTCACCCTCACACTCACACACACACTCACGCTCACACACTCACCCTCACACACTCACACACACACACACACTCACACACTCACCCTCACACTCACCCTCACACTCACACACACACACACTCACCCTCACACTCACGCACTCACACACACTCACCCTCACACACACACACACACACACACTCACCCTCACACACACACACGCACTCACCCTCACACACACACACACACACACTCACCCTCACACACACACACACACTCACCCTCACACTCACACACACACTCACCCTCACACACACACTCACCCTCACACACACACACACACACACACACACACACACACTCACCCTCACACACACACACACACTCACCCTCACACTCACACACACACACACACTCACCCTCACACTCACACACACACTCACCCTCACACTCACACACACACTCACCCTCACACACACACTCACCCTCACACACACACACTCACCCTCACACACACACTCACACACACACACACACTCACCCTCACACTCACACACACACACACACTCACCCTCACACTCACACACACACTCACCCTCACACACTCACCCTCACACACACACACACACTCACCCTCACACACACACACACACTCACCCTCACACACACACACACACTCACCCTCACACTCACACACACACTCACCCTCACACTCACACACACACTCACACTCACACACACACTCACCCTCACACACACACTCACCCTCACACACACACTCACCCTCACACACACACACACACTCACCCTCACACACACACACACACCCTCACACACACACACACTCACTCACACACCCTCACCCTCACACACAGGGTGTGTTTTTGTTGTACATTTATTTTATTTTCAACTTTAATTTATATATTTTATCTTATTCTTCCCAGTTAAATTTACCCTTCATTCTAATTTGTGTTGTACAGTTATTTCATTTTTAACCTTAATTTATATTTTATTCCTTCCTAGTTAAATTTACCCTTTTTAATTTTTCATATTTATTTCCTATCTTATTCATAGCCTTTTCCTTTTTTGTTCTCTTTAGGTCACGAGCAGTTGTCCAAGCATTTCACTACATATCGTACTGTGTATGACTGTGTACGTGACAAATAAAATTTGAATTTGAATTTGACACACACACTCACACACACTCACACTCACCCTCACCCTCACACACACACACTCACACACACTCACACACACTCACCCATCAGAGCTGCAGAGTAGATTAACGCTGGACTTCAGTGAGACAAAATCTCAGCTAATCGTCTTTAATGCGATTGGCTGTTAGGAGGTCAAACGTGTCGCTCAGAGAGCTGCAGCTCTGAGTGCTAATCTCATTCTGCAGGAAGCACTCTGACTCCCAGCACGGACCGATGGACGGACTTCCAACCGTCCATCCATCCACCTGTCTGTCTGTAATTCCCTCTAGCCTTCAATTCATCCTTCCATCCATCCTCCCACCTGCCCTGTTCAAAAATCAGATCCAGATGTTTCTTTACTAGCTTCACTTCCTGTTATCCAGAGGTGTTCCCAGGTCAGACAGAACGTCTAACGTTTCCATGTGTCTGTATGTTCTCAGTCGTCCAGGTCATGGTAATCTCAGGAGCTTGAAGTACCTGAAAGAAGCCCGGTCCCTTTTCTTTTCAACATCCTTAGACTATGATCGTTCCATCTAGTTCTGGATGGATCCGGTGGGGTTTCTGTATGGAGGACCACAAGAGCCCCGCGCATCGAAATAAAACATTCTGTGCTTAATTAATGAATTGTAGAATAAAATCTGCATTTGTAAATTCATTTTTGAATTCAAATTTTATAAACTGCATTTCAAAATCCATTTCCCTTTCCTGTTCGCTCAGGGATTAACTCAGGGCCAGCCTGGATTTTTCTAGCTCATAGCTAGAAAAATCCAGGCTGGCAGACAGCCTGTGTCTGACCAACCAATCAGAGAGCTCCTTACATCCCACGGTGTGGCTAATTTGAATAGCAGCAGGATTTTTAAAATGAAGTTGTTAATCCAACTGCTAATCCACATGTTAATCCCTGAGCGAACAGGAAAGGGAAATGGATTTTGAAATGCAGTTTATAAAATTTGAATTCAAAAATGAATTTACAAATGCAGATTTTATTCTACAATTCATTAATTAAGCACAGAATGTTTTATTTCGATGCGCGGGGCTCTTGTCGTCCTCCATATTTCTGGGCATGGCTAAAACATTTCCAAAGAGAAGCATCCAGGAGGAACCCTGAGCCTGATCAGATCTGATCTGAAACACCTCCTTCATTCTGAGATCCCTCAAAGTGCAGGTTCCTCACCTGATCTCTAAAGAGCCCAGAGGAAGCTGTTTCTGCCCCTTGGATGCCACAGCTCACAGTCACAATAGTAAAAATGTACGTTTATACCCAAAGGGGAGCAACGAGCTGTTGCCCAGGAGGTCTGAAGTAGTCAGAACATCTGCAACGCTTGAAAAACTTTAGAGCATCTGTGAGTAGGGATGGGTACCGGTGTCCGGTGCCATTCTGACATAAACGGTAGTAACCAGACCGAAAAGCAGCGCACATTTCGGTGCTTTATTTCGGTGCTTTTTTTTCCTGAGCTGTGATACACTTTTAGCCAATCGTTTTACGTTTCCGAGGATAGTAGGCGGGGCCAGGTACGTACGTTCTGTTAGCGCAGAGCTACAGATTAAAAATGTCCAAGGCGAAGCAGTCAAAAGTCTGGCTGTACTTCACAGCAAAATATGCAAACTCAGCAGCAACAAGTGCTTTAAGCTGATACTGTGATGCTGTCAAAGGAGGTAACACCAAGAATCTGATGAAACAGCTGGCGACGCATAGCGTTTTTTTTAAAAGCCGAGAAATGCGCCGTATTTGATGGCAGCAGCCGTTCTTCTCTGCGTGAGTAGCTTAATGTTGTTCGTGTGTAATTTACGTTGAGTAGGCTAACCACGTTATTACATTAATGCATGTAAGGTGAACTAGCAAACACCATCATAGCTACATGCAGCTGTCTTCTTGTTTGATGGCAGATGCTCCCTTCACCCTGGCCAAAAAGGCTAAAATGACCAAAGAAAAAGTGGAAAACAGTTAAACATGAGAGGTTTTTGGACAAAGTTTGTGTTTTTTCCATTGTTTAAGCTTCCAGCCAAGAGTGATACCATATATGCCCCATAGCTGCAGAAAAGGCTAACATTGTTATCTTTTTACAAAAAAACAGCTGAACATGAGAGGTTTTTGTACCAATTTTGTGTTCTCCATTCTTTAAGCACCGGTTTGAGCACCGTTTGAGCACCAGCACCGTTTCAAAAGTACCGATTTGGCACCGGTATCGGATAAAACCTAAACGATACCCATCCCTATCTGTGAGTGACTGATGATGACCAGAAATCACTAAGCCAAGACGATGAGCCGGCAGCCACAAAAGCTCCTTCAGAGCTCAGCTATAACAGTAACACCGCAGACACTTTAAATCTTGACTTTCTTGATGTCTCTGATGAAAGCAGATATCAGCTGATTTCCAAACTCTGCTGGATGTGCTTCATGAATGTCACCTACTACAGCACAGACAGGTTTGTGTTCAAACGCTATTTTATATATATTTCGATTTGATGCCCTGACCTCCATCGTGGTGAGCTCACTGATCACCAAACCAAGCCTCACGAGCTGACTCACAGTGGCTCTCATGTCTGGTTCTTCCTCTGTTAGAGAAGATCTGACTGGACCACTAATCAATGTGGGAACTTTGTTAACATTGTTCCACTGTGATGCGGTTGTTGTTGTCATAGCAATGACTTTAAATGGCAAAAACATTGGTGTTTCAGCCATGCTTCCTTGGTGTGGTAGCACCCACGAGGAAGCCCGTTTTGACTACCGCAGAGACGTTTCACAGCAGCATCTAGTGGACATGAGAGGAACTGCAGTGCCTGTTTTCCCTCAGTGAATTTGTGTCGATGACACTTTTCAATCAGAACTAGAAAAAGAGTCCCGGCACTCGTTCTTCAGACCTCTGCCCTCACCTCGGGCTCAGGAGGCAGAGTGGGTCATCCACCAATCAGAAGGTCGGTGCTTGGATTTGGGGTTCTGAAGCCAGAGTTTTCCCCAACTCATCATCAGAGTGTGAGTGTGTGTGAACATGAGGTGAAAAGAGCTTATTTACCTCGAGCTCCTGGAAGTCGTCATCGTCGTCGATGTCATAGGACAGTGTGTGAATCTTTGCCTCCTCACCAGAAAACTCCAGATACTTCCCGTCAGCAAACAGCAGCACCTCCTTTGTGGAGACGGCGGCGGCAGAAGAAGAGGAGGCTTCTGGTCCAAGTCCCTCTATGAAGGTGGTCTCACAGCAGTCGCCTCCCCCAGCCTCCCCCCAGGCCCGCAGGACACTCTCCGGGCACAGGAAGAGGCGGGGGGCCGGCCTGAGGCGAGGGTCTGGCACCCCATGCTGGGGCAGGAGAGTGCTGGGGTTCAGAAGCTGGGGAGGACCCCTGCTGTGCTCCTGCTGAGGGGAGGTGCTCACCACCACGTGACCCTGATACTGAGGAGCAGAGTACACTGACAGTAGCACCTCCCGAGGCTCCGCCCCCAGTCTGTGCGTGTTGATCAGGCCATTTTGTCTGCAGGCTTCTCCTCCTCCTCTCCGTGAGACTCTCCCAAGCCCGGAGGAGGTTTCAGGCTCTTCTCCTCGGCTCTCCTTGTTTCCTCCACCTTCCATCTCTCCTCAGAACTCGTTTCCTCCTCAAGGGGTCTCTCAGAGAGGTCAGAGGTCAAGGGTCAGGCATTGCATACTGAACTTTGCTGGAAAATAGAAAAAGAGAAGATAGAATAGAAAAGCCCATTGATGTCATTGTACTGGTGTTCCACACCAACTGTGACAGCCGGAATAAATACAAAATGAGATAGAGGCACACACTGGAGAACAACGCAGGAAGTGCAACGAAAGGAGCTGGTCCGTGTGTGACGGTCGCTCAGAACATGGCTCAGATTGGTGTGGCGAGTGGGCAGGGTAACAGTCCGAATAGCCCAGGGGAGCCTGGAGGTGTGGGACCTGACTGACCCAAGGCGTGGTGCAGAGGGTGGTGGGTCAAACAGGTAGTGGGCGGGGTCTGAGGGGTATGAAGGGATCTCTGTGAAACCGATCCAGGAAAAAGCACGAAGAGGCCTGTCCTGCTGTCCTCACAGCACGGACACATGCACCCGTGTGACGTGTGTTTGCAAACGTGGTGTGTGTGTCAGAGGATTCACCTGCTGAGCTGCATCCTGCATCCGATGAGATGCCTTGATAAACACCTGAGGTCCTTTTATGTTTTGGCAGGAAACCATCAGCAGGAGGACAATCTGACATACGGGGACATTTCTGCACTGCTGTGTTTGCTGCTTCATATTGGGACCAGATGATGGTCTGTTTGGAATATCTGGCGTCAGCAGCGTGTGTGAAACCTTAAACACCTGAAGCACCTGGTATATTAGAGCTCTAATAAAGGATTTTGTGCCTCGGCCCTCCCTCCCTACAGCCTTCAGATATTGTGGTGCTTCCTTGGCTGTGGTGTTGGAGGTGTTCCTGACGTTTTTGGGGTATTTGTGACTCTGTGAGCTGCGGCTCACATCAAATAATCCACAGCACATTAATAATAAAGCTCATCTTCAAAGCTGCGCCCACACCACCGACAGGCGCACGTGCATGGACAGCGCGCACACGCACGTGCACGGATGTTTACAGAAAAACCCTCATCGTAAACCCGAATACCGACACTCACCGGCTCTGACGTCAGCACGGTGATAGCCACACGCGCACACACACAAACACGCGCACATACTCACCTCCCAAGGTGAGACACGAGAGCCGTCCATCCATTCATCGTCCATCCATCTGCGCATCCAGGCGTGACAGCGACCCCCGCGGCCGTCCCGCAGCCGCGTTGGGTGCGCTCTGAGCGGGCTGAGAGGCGGCGGGTTCCCGATGCGAAGCTCCGTATTTCCAAAAAAGCCGTAAGAGGAGAGAGGCAGGCGGGCAGGCAGGTGTCCGTCTGCTCCGAGAATGATTCTCCTGCAGAGAGGAGGTGGAGAGGAGGAGGAGGAGGAGGAGAGAAGAGGCATGTGCGCTGAATACAGAGGAGGTGTGTGTCAGCAGAGACTTCTTCCACAGGGTCCTAAAGCCCCTCATATCAAACATGACGAATCGAATAAATCGTCCTTGAAAACGTCCAGGTTTGGACTCCTGAAGTCAGACCTGCTGACCAATCGCAGGCTCCGCCTCTCCCGTGGGACATCTTTCTCAATGATCTAAAGAACATTTGAAGATATTTGCTCGGACTTAGAACTGGTTTTAGTTTGGAGTTGATCCTGATCTGCATCCAGGAATTTCTCAAAAAATTCAGAAATTCAGTTAATGTTGAATTTTTGACATCTCCCTTTGTTTTTAGCTGGGAGACATCGTCCTGATGTTCTAATATTACAAACCGAATCTGTTCCAGATCTCCTTCACACTCAGTTCATGCATGTTTCCACAGTGATTACACTCACAGGCACCAGTACCCAGGAGGCCAGGCAGCTCCTGGAACAGGAGGAGGCTTCTGGACTGGAATGGGAACATCCGGGGTGCTTGGATATCTTTTTGGTCGTCAGGGAAGCCAGCCCTACGATTCTAACTATGGCTACGTTCACACTGCAGGTCTTAAAGCTCAAATCCGATTTTTTTGTCTACAAATAAAATGCGACAGCAAACACGCGCTAGTGTGAACCCTCAAAGCGGCCGCATGCGCAAACGAAGACGTCACACACAACGCGCTCTGTTTAGACCCAGAGCAACAGTATTCTTTGACTGATGGCCTTCATATAAAGTCTTGTTTCGGACTTTACGTTTCCCAATTTTGCTTTAAGTCATAAAGTTATTTTGTTATCTACATTTGGCCTAATAATGATCCTTATTGCTGTTTTAGAGGAGCGGTGCTTCAAAGGATAGCTGCAGATTATACAGTACAAATAAAATGTTCACGTTTCTCCAACGTTGTCTTCCCAACAGTCTCACTAACATCTATACTGGATGGCCAGGAATCTCGGGCGCTTCTCCAGCGCTGATAATTGGCGTCTGTCTTGTGTCAGTGACGTAAAAGACGGATTTAGTGCAACATGACCATCAAACAGCAGTCGCTTTCTAAAACATCAGATATGTGTCGGATTCAGGACCACATACGAAAGTGACCCAGATCGGATTTGTGCCGTTCACACTGTTAGACCATGATCGGATATGGGTCGCATAGGATCAAAAAAGACGGATTTGATGCACCTTCGCCTGCAGTGTGAACGTAGCTTTAGATGTCTCAACTCCACCTGCTGCTTTTCATGCAGAAACAATCTTGTAGAGACTAAACAAAATATAAACGAGGGAAGAGTCAAGAGAGAGAATGTCAGGGTGAGATATTCCATCAGGTGTCATGGAAACAGGACATTTTAAAATGAACCACACTTTCTGTCATAAACACTTTTCAGACAGAGTACACCCACTAAAACTTCATCAGGTCCCATTAAACCTGGTATGAGTGATGGTTTGATTTCATCAGTGTGTCACATCACTGTAGACGAGGAGCTCACAGCTCGTCTGAGCGGTTTGCTTTTGTGCATCATGGACAAACATCTGTGCATCGGATCAGGTCATTGATGCATCTGATCAGGTCATCAGTGCATTGGATCAGGTCATCAATGCAGCCGATCAGGTCACCAATGCATCGGATCAGGTCATCAATGCAGCCGATCAGCTGCTGCTGCCGAGCCCCGTACCTCCAGTGGAAGCACTGGGGACGGAGTCAGGTTTCCACGCAGTTGTTAATTCATTAACGTTGGTGTTATAGATCTTGGGTTGGATTTGAACTCTTGGGACCTGCTGAAACCCCGCCCAACTGCTGTTTGTGTGGGGTAGCCAATCAGAGATAAGCTGTGTGGAAAATGGGGAGGAGTTAAATATCTCGCTTCAGACAGAGGATGAACTGCAGAGAGGCCGGTGTCAGGTAAAGAAGGATTATTCTGAACAGGGACTCAAGCACAGCTGCTTTCAGAGAGTCCAGGAACAGACCACACCTCAGGAGGGAGGAGGTGACGGAGGGGAGATCAGGATGAAGCAGAGAATTTTGGAGGAGGCTGAGGAAAAAAAGGTCAAACATCTGAGTGAGAAGAACTTGTCAAAGCAGAAGAATAAGCTCCAAACTAAATTCATGGATAGTAACCGAAACTAAACAGGATGTAGGGCGTGCTGTACGCAATGATGGAGTCCTCATTCCCTGTTATCCCGCTCCACCCACACCACCTTTTTTTTTTTAAGCAAGCAGGAGTGTTTTTGTGTGTTTTACTGTGTAAGATTTGTCCTCATGTTTAATATGAGCTGCACAAAAGGGAAGTGCTGAAGCAGCTTAAAGGTAAAAGTGCCTTCAGTGATCCACACATCACAACATCAGGTCACTCCTGCAGAGGGAAACATAAATCAGCACAAATGAAAAATGCTGCATCACCTTCACGCTCACTGGAGACCTGCACAGCTTCATCCACCTCACAGGTCCAGGGCAGATCTAACAGATGCAAAAAAAGAGAAAAAGATGCAGCACACCTCATGTCAGACCACACTCAGGGCCCACAGTCACACCCTCACGCTGAGGTCTGAATGTTGGAAACAAAATGAAAATCTGATTTTGTCTTGAATTTACTCATTTTTATCTTCACCACTCAAAATTCTTTAGAACCAAATTTCCAGCTGACTTCAAACTTCCTTTCCTGTTTTCATTCTTCGGTCAGTTCCTGCTGCAGTTCACAGATTAAACGTCAGCACCCCCTGCAGCTGTGGACGCTTTACTGCAGCACATACACCTGTGAGCCTCCAGGCGCTCCTCCCTGCAGACTGAGGGGAAAGCATCAGGTAGTGAAAAATGAAGAAAATACAAGAAATTAAAAACTGATATTTAATCTTCAATCAGTGTGAAATGGGATGCTCGTACATCGGAGGAGGACCCCGGGACAGGAGGAGTTACTGCCATGTCTGTAACTCAGAAAACAGAACACTTTTGTTTTTGGAGCTTTCCTCTCCAAACAGCAATAATAATATTAATGTGCAAGGGTTAGCCAGGCCCTTCCTCCATGTCACACTGAGTCCTTAACTTAATATATCTCACCTGTACCTGACCCTCTGCGGTTACACTGTTACTTACACCTGTCTGTTACACTTACCTATTTGTTGCACCTGTGTACCTGTTAGTTACACCTACACAGACCTCTCTGATGTTTTCGCCTTCCCTGTTGGACTCGTTGGGCTGATGTCTCACTGCCGTCCAGCGGGGTGCGCGCTGCTCATTTAATCGTAGTTTTGAACCCAGCGAAGAAGAAAAGTGTCGGCGCGTGCGTCCAAGAAGAGGCCGTTAGTGACGCTGTTCCTGTCACAGTGCGCAAATGCGCATCCAGGAGTGCGGAGCTCTGGCTGAGAGCGAGCAGAGCCACACCGGCGGGCTAAGAAACGAAACCTTAGGAAGGAAGCGAAAACAGCGCTCCAGGGGGGGCACTCAGAGCGGGGGGAAGGCCTGTGACGCAGTAGGTAAGCCGGACTTACCTGACACTCGGCTGGTCCTACGGGCCGGGCCGTGGATGCCCGCGGAACCGCTTTCCTGCCGGAGGCCCTCCGTTCACATCCACATAGCCCACCCTGAGCCGCCCTGAGAGCGGCGCACCAAACTCCATTCAGAAAACTGCTAATTCAGAACAAACGCTCTTCGGAGAGCAGAAACACGCGCAGTCCCGTCCGTGTCTGAGACGTGTGGCGAGCTTGTCGGTGGCGAGCTTCGGTTCGGCACTCTGATACGGCACGTTATCGCCACCAGGGCTCAGTCGGGAACTGTTGGCTCGTCCTCTGAAGTATGTCTGAGGTGACGATGATGCAGAGCGGCAGACTGGATGTAGACTTCATTATAACTTGTGTTTAAAAACGGGAAGTTGGAGGCGCCGAATTTACTAGAATATTCTATAGAGCAAAAGAGAGTGAGTGAGTTTGATCAGCGGGCGGTTTAAGGTTAAATCGAGCTTTTTTTACACGGGCTTTGGTGTGACATTTTGAGTGCTCGTCCATATGGCTCACCATGAGTAAAAGTTAGCTGGTTAGGTGTGATGGGTAGTTAGCTGGCAGGTTAACCAACGAAGCGTACCGCAGCTTTGACAAAGTGCGCACAAAGCGCAGATTTTTGCGGTTAAAGGTGAAACTAACTGCGGCAGCAAACTAGCCTTAGCAGCCTTAGCTTGTTGCGTTCAGATTAAAAAAAAAATAAAGTGCCCGGCTAATTCCTGAATCTACAGGACTGTCAGTGAGCTAATGCAATGAAAAGTCACTTTGACTTCATTAATGACACTGCGCTAAAGGCAGGGCAGCGGCGAGCACGGGTGACTCCAGAAATTAGTCCCCTTCTTACCCAAGTTTTAGACGTAGCCCGATGAAGCTAGCAGCCGTTGGAGCGCACGCTCAGCTGACAGCGGGGAGGCGCACTGGGATCGTCCCAGGGCCGAAACGCAGCTGGAAACCAGCCGACTTTGTGCTTCCACCGAACTCCTGTCAGAAATCCACAAATTTTGCCCTGACATCAAACTAGCGTCACATCCGTTTTATTTCACACCAACATCCACTCGGAGTTGTGATCCTCTTAGAGTGATCTTCTCTATACCCAGCTCCAGTCACATCTGCAGAGTTCACCCCATCACCAAAGTCCAGTGAGTTTGATTTCTGCACATTCTTCAGAATCCAGTGAAAAATGTGCAGATGTGACCGCTGACATCACACTACAGTCACATGTATTACTTGTCTTTATGCCACAGCTCCATTCACTTTCTGGTCCTTTTAGTTATTTTCACGATTTTCTTTGGGTTGATCAACTTTTCTTTTTTTTCCTCTTTCTCAACAAAAACGGAGTTATACTTCAGGTGATGTCATTTTCTCGTGGCCTCCTGATGAAACTTTAGTCGGATTCTGGTTAATTTTAGTTTCTTTTTATGAGAAGTCATAGAAGACCTGCTGGTTGTACACTGTTTTAACTCTGACACCAAACTCCAGTTACATTTTTGATCATTTTAGAATACAATAAAACTCGGTGTGGTCTTGCATGACTTTATTCCCGCCACAAAAGTACAGTTAAAATTTGAGGCATTTCTCTTTGGGCCTGCATATTTTACTCTTTCACTTTCATTTCAGAAGTCCTCCTCCTTCACACACATGTTCAGTCAGAGTAATTGTTTTAAAGAGAGGACCCGAAAGAATAACGATTATAAAATCTGCAGATTTCTGACTGGAGTTTGGTTTGGAGATCATTGGTTGCCACTTTCCTCAAGCCAAAGTCCAGTCCCTTTTTTGGTCATTTTAGAACGTCTTGACATCAGAATGCAGTAAAGTAAGTTTACTGAAACATGAATAAGCGACCTTCTTTTCTTTGAATAACCACTTCTCCTTTTCTGGCTCCTCCCATCAGTGACCATGGTTGGCGAACGCCGCAATGGGAACCTGCTGGTCCAGCTCGGCCCGAAACTGCAGGCGTATCCCGAGGAGCTGATTCGCCAGCGACGCACCCACGACGGGCAGACGGAATACCTGATTCGCTGGTGCCTCGTCGCCATCGACGATGGCTCCACCTCTGGAGGCGGTGCCAGCGAAGCGGGCGGGACGGTCGGCGTCAGCTCCGGAGTGGGCGGGTCCGTGAGCGCCGTGTCTGGAGAAACCAAACCGGAAAACATCCTGATGTGGATGTCGACAGAGGACGTGTACGCCAACTGTCCCACACTGCTGGGCAAGAGGAAGATGGACTCCCAGCGTCCCCTGCAGCAGGAGAAGCAGCGTGGCGGCGAGGCTTCCGACTCGGGCATTTCAAGCGGCACAGAGTTCCCGTCCGACGTCACTTTTGACGAGGTGGAGCTGTCGGACATGAAGGAAGACGTGAAGAACCTGGTGTGCCGAGCCCGGAAGCAGATGGCCAAGAAGAGCGACTTCTCCATCAACATCATGCACACCATCCACGTGTTGAGCGCCTACGCCAGCATTGGCTCGCTTGTCGGTGTCTTTAAGGAGACGGGCGCGCTCAACCTGCTGATGGAGCTGCTGTGCAACAAGGAGACTCAGACGAGGCGAAGCGCCGGGAAGATGCTGCGCGCGCTTGCCTCGCATGACGCAGGTAAGCAGTCTTTAAACAGCGCTGTGATCGGACACAGGGTTTAGTTCCCCCCCGGTGGGCTGTGAGGATACTGCTGGCTTGTTTCAGAGTCCTCAGGTGGATTAGGCGCTGGTATTCTTTTACAGTCTCAGCGGTAGTTGGACAGAATTAACAGCTGGAGCTGCTGTGGGAGATAAAATCATCAGAATATTAAAAAAGGACCGACTGGGTCTTCTGTCTGTGTGACGGTCAGTTGTGTTTTAAGGTTTGGGGCGGCGCTCTGGAGTTTAAGTGATGAATGAAATGGGAAGTGAAGCGTGAGGAGCGATCAGAGTAATGACGTCTGTGCGCTCTGCGTCACAGCTGTTTGTGCTGAGTACGATCAGCTGATAGGCCAAGGCTACGCCGCCTCCTCCTCCCAACTTGCTCTAAAATGTGGCGTAAAATGTAAAACTTTGACCAGCTGACCAATCGGAGCAGAGGGATGTTTTTCAGTGGGTTTGGTGTCAGATACACGACAAGAGCTTGGCGAGGTCGGCGGCGTGCTCCAGTGCTGCATCAGTGTTTAGGTGTTGCTGATTGGTCAGCGTGTGAGAACGTTCAGCAGGAAACCGCGACAAAGATCGAGCTGCCGAGATCGTGAATCGGGAGAAGAAGCGTTTTCCAGCGGGGAGAATGTCCAATCAGAGGCGGTCATGATGTTGGGACTAAAGTTTTTAGTTTGTGAACCCTCAGACAGCCTGACATCACATCACCGTGGCAACAGAAATGTTCAGCTGACTCGAGAAAAAACTGGGTAGGAAGTTCAGAGTACTGTGTCACCGCGGCCGGCCGTTTGAGGCGTGCAGGCCGAGGTTAGCAGAATGATCAAAGACAGAAGCGTGAAGCTGACGTTAAGACGCCGAGATTGTGGTCGCCTTAAGATTTAGATCTGGACTTTGGAGAAGCCGCCTGAGCGTCGAGGGGTGATGACTCAAACCTTTAAACAGGCCTCAGGCAGGGATAGCAGCCATGTTTACACGCCACAAAGGCGTGGAGCAGTTTGATTCCTGCTTGGAGAAGCAACACTGCTCCTCACGTCTCTCCACGTCAGAGCTGGAGTCAGAGCAGAAGAAGAAAGTTTTCATGTTCTGAGAATCTCTGAACTCCCGTACTGATGGAGGAGGGAGTCCTGGCGTACCCTGCTCCCTCTGAAACAGTCGATGACATCAACGCCTGTCACATGATCAGTACTCTGATAGAACGGTGCTGATGATTAATAATCAATAAGCTGTGATCGTGCTCTCTCAGTAATCTTCTAATCACTGATGGTAATCGCAGCAGCATGAAGCCGAGCAGTCACTGGAGCTTTTGACAAACTATTTTATCTCTGTCTACATCCGCCACGTTGAAGTGTGCGTCCTGTCACTTGTTACGGTCAGGGTCCAGAAACGCACTCGTCGGTGCAGGCAGCCAATCAGCAGCAGCTCCACACTTGGGCTAAAATGAGCGTTTTTATGAATGGACTCTGGTCCACATCTGTCTAAAGCTTTGATTCTTTCAGGCTTATTCTGTGTTCAGCTGCTCGACGTCTCTTAAAGCTCCGCCTCATTCGTTCGTCTTCACCTCAGAGCTGAGAGCTTTAAACGCTAACGCGGGTCGAGCCTGATGCCGCGTTTACTCTGACACGGTCTGAAAAAATCAGTTAATAAGTTGATCAGATGTTTTAAGCCCCTGTTAAACACTGCCTCCACCCTCCTGGCTCCTCCCCCTGCTGACAGTGTAAGTGGTTTAAAGTATAAATGTGTGCGTATGGGCCAATGCCTCCTGGAATGACTATTGATCTGTTATTGAGTAGTGTCAGGCGCTGAGGGCGTGTCCCGCCGTGTCGCCCGCAGGCAGCCGGGCGTATGTGCTGCTGTCTCTGAGCCAGCAGGACGGCATCGAGCAACACATGGACTTCGATAACCGCTACACGCTGCTGGAGCTGTTCGCCGAGACCACGTCGTCCGAGGAGCACGGCATCTCCTTCGAGGGCATTCACCTGCCGCAGGTAAGACTAATTTCTTTATGTTGTCAGAGGTGCGCCTCTGTGGCTCCGCCCAGCAGGGGGCGCCGCTGCAGTAAACCTGCTTGACTGTGTGTTCAGATTCCCGGGAAGCTGCTCTTCTCCCTGGTGAAGCGTTACCTGTGCGTCACGTCTCTGATGGACAAGCTCAACACGGCGGGGGCGGAGTCAGGCTCTGAAAAGCTGGACACTTGCCCTTCTCCTGCCTCTTCCTCCAGCAGCTCCGCCCACCAGACGGAGCAGCTCCGTGTCCAGCGGGAGTTTGACTTCACCATGGCCATGGCCAACCTGATCTCGGAGCTGGTCCGAGTGATGGGCTGGGACCGTAACCGCCAACCGCTTGATGGCTCTGCCCACCTCACAGGAGTTGTGGTTAGCGGGGAGGATCAAGGGGAGGAGGCTTCCCGCCCTGTCCTCAGGTCCATTTTTCAGCCTCGATTCTGCGCCTCCCCTGTCACTCTAACCACCAGCTCCGGTGGCGCAGCCCCCGCCGCCACACCACCAAAGAAGAAAGCAAATGGTTTCAAAACGCGCTCGGACTTCACCTGCCGCTCCGCCTACGTGGAGTACGTCCAGGACAACCTGAAGAGCGGCATGATGGTCCGCATGCTGGAGGACTACGAGGAGGTGAGCGCCGGCGACGAAGGAGAGTTTCGCTACAGCAACGACGGCTCGCCACCTGTACAGGTGAGGAAACCCGTATAGGTCGGCTGAAGTAGGGGGTGGGGCTTCATCCAGGTGTAGAGGAAGATTTGGCTGTCAGTGTACAGGGTGGGCCATTTCTATGGATACAGCGTAATAACACGGGAATGGTTGGTGATATCAAAGTCCTGTTTGTGGCACATTAGTATATGTGAGGGGGCAAACTCCTCAAGATGGGCGGTGACTAGGGCTGCACGATTTTGCATAAAATGAGAATCACGATTTTCTTTTCCAGTATAAATATTTATCGCACTTATTAACTGCACATCAACTTCGTAACAGTTGAGACTGAACATGAAAACAATAAATAAACATAAAAACAACAAATGTCTCACGTTTTGTTGTTGCCGCAAAATGTTGTACTGCTTGAAATTCCGTCTCCACCGTTGCTCGACGCTGCGTGTACAGAGCAGGTAGTGCAACGATAGACAAATAGTTGCGGGACGGCACTGTGTAGCGTTTGTCTAGGGTAGGGCTGGGTATCGTCACTGATTTCTAGAATCGATTCAATGCCGATTCACAAGGTCCCGAATCGATTTGTTCCACGATTCGATTTAATTCGATTTGAATCTTGGAAATTTTGACAGCCAGAAATATTATAATTCAGATCAGAACATTTACATATTTTTGTATCTATAAAAAGGAAGCTGACACACGCAAGACTTTATCCAAGGTGTGAGCATCACAGCAGAGGCCTTTGTGTCAAAGTAGCTGAAGATAAAACACAGACAAACATGGAGGTGATTTTCCTGTTCTGGATTTTATAAAAATATTCTGCAGTACATCAAAAACAAAAGAAAACCATTAATCAACACATGAACATCACCTCTGACGTTACAGAGGTTTTATTAGACACACGGCTAAGCGTTTTGCATTTTGAATAATTTTAAAAAGTTTAAATTTGTTCAGTATTGAACGGCAGAAATTAGGTTTTCTTTTTGGAAGTATATAAAACGGAAAAAAAAAACGTCGGCCGACAGCGCTGTATACAACGTAGTCTTGTGCATAACAAGCAAGCGAATAATGAAGAAAACAGATTTTTAGACGGGAAACTGTTCTTGAAGTTGAAGTACAGAGAGAGAGAGAGAGAGAGCTGTGCATCGTGGTCGAAGCAAAACAGCAAAAGTCAGAGTGAATTCATGACGATGTTTATGTGAAGCGTAGTTTGGATCTTCTTTTGCTGCTGGTTCGGTCAATATTGTTTGGAGAGAGATCAAACTAACAGCTTTAGAATCAGCGCATAAAGGGCGTGAACACAAAGCGCCGACCCGCCGACAGATGGCCTGTATTTATATAGCGCTTTTCTAGTCCCTAAGGACCCCAAAGCGCTTTACATATCCAGTCATCCACCCATTCACACACTGGTGATGGCAGCTACATTGTAGCCACAGCCACCCTGGGGCGCACTGACAGAGGTGAGGCTGCCAGACACTGGCGCCACCAGGCCCAGATCAGAATCAGCGAGCTGTCGGCTTCCAGCCCCGACTGAGAAAGGCGACATCTAACTGATTCTGATCCACGGGTTTTGTCTTTGTGCAGAATCCGTGTTCCTGCTCTCATTTACTGTCTTAGCTGTTTGGTGGTTGTTGAAATTTTGTGAGATTTCACCAGAAATTCTGGCATTTTGGGCAAAATAAATTTATATTAAAAAATCGATTCAGGATTTTAATGAATCAATTTTAAGTTATCCAAGCCAGAATCTATTTTAATCGATAAATCGATTATAAAAACCCACCCCTAGTCTAGGGTGTTGATCATTTTCCTAAATCCCTCGTTTTGCACAGTGTTGATGGGAGCCATATCTTTGGTCAGGTGATAAGTGATAGCCTCCGTAATTTCTTTGAGTTCGACGGGTATAGGGAAGCGCTGTATAAGGTTCCTGTTATTGATGTTTGGGTGGTTGACCGGGACGGATTTTCTCCTGTCACTTTCTCGTCATCCCTGACGTGCTCTCCGTTGTTTTTTTCCTGCTAATTTTAGCATCACACAGCACAGCTTCTGTATCACGTGGTATAAGGCTCCGCCCTTGTCATTTGTTGAGCAGGAAGAGTGAGCGCTTGTTTTCATGCAGAGTACGTCCCAGATCAAAATGCGGTACAATCGTTGTCTTTTTTTTTTTTTTTTTTTTAAATCGTTGTCATTTGGAAATGAGATCGCACATAAGTATGAATCGAGATCGCGATTTTCTAACGATTAATCATGCAGCCCTAGTGGTGACCATGGTGGCCATTTAGAAGTCGGCCATCTTGGATAACTTTTGTTTTTCCAATAGGAAGAGGGTCATGTGACACATCAAACTTATTGGTAATGTCACAAGAAAAACAATGGTGTGCTTGGTTTGAGTCCGACCCCTCTGTCTCGATCCCTTGCTCTGCTGTTTTTAACCAGTTTGAGCCTGTGACTCTTTCTTATTTAGAGGATGTGGTCGGCCACCTGAGGCCCACTGGTTCCCCAAATGATCCTGTCCCACCACAATTTTTTAAGGAGATTTTCCTAGCATAGTCCAGGCTGTTCTTACTGTTATGAACAGCAGTTTAATATCTGGTGTAGTCCCTGCTAATTTAAAGCATGCAGCAGTAGACGTAGAGCTTTTTATTGTCATTGTGCAATTTCTTGCACAGCGAAATTGGGTAGCTGAACCACAAAGGTGCTAAAGTAAGAAGAAGAGAAACCAATATACAACGAAGGCGGAAAATAAATAAATAAATAAATAGTACAACCCTTGCTTAAGAAACCTGTCCTGGACCACACTGTGTTGGCTAACTACAGGCCTCTCTCTAAGTTGTCCTTTATGTCTAAAAATTGTACATTGCCAATTGATGGATTTTTTTTAAAGGAGAATGGTGTCCTAGAGGTCTTCCAATCAGGTTTTAAAAACGTTCATAGCACGGAGTCAGCACTCTTAAAGGATTTTAATGATATCCTCCTTTCCTGTGACTCTGGTAATCATGTTGTTCTTGTCTTTCTTGACCTAACAGCTGCCTTTGACACTGTAGACCACTGTAGCATTTTACTGTCTCGCTTGCACCATCTTGCAGGCATTCGTGGTACTGCCTTGAAATGGTTTAGGTCTTATCTTTCTGACAGAACTTTTAGTGTTAACCTTTCAGGGTATGAGTGCTCCTCTGCCGCCTTTCAGTCTGGGGTCCCGCAGGGCTCAATTTTAGGACCTCTGCTTTTTTTCATTATATTTACAGCCCCTGGGAACCATCCTCAGAAGGCATGGAATATCCTTCCACTGCTATTAAGCCACTTCTAGCATCTCTAGAAGACATTAAATCTTGGATGTCCCTAAACTTTCTAAGATGTAATTCAAGCAAAACTGAGGTGATTCTGTTTGGTCTCAGTGGACCTTGTGAACCCTCGTCTATTGATTTGAGACCCCTGGCAGAGTATTTTAAACCTGTTGTTACTAACCTGGGTTTTAAGATGGACAGTGATTTTAAATTAGACAGTCAAATTAGGGCTACGGTCAAGTCCAGTTTTTATTATTTAAGGCGTTTGGCAAAGATAAGACCTGTTTTATCCAGGCCGCATTTTGAAACAGTAATCCATGCTTTTATTCCATCTCGTTTGGATTACTGTAATGTGCTGTATTGTGGAGTTAGTCAGCGTCTTCTCTCTCGTCTGCAGCTGGTCCAAAATGCTGCTGCATGACTTTTAACCAGAACTCGTACAAGAGAGCACATAACTCCCATCATCGCCTCACTCCATTGGCTGCCTGTATATCTTAGAGTTCATTTTAAAATTCTCATGTTTGTTTTTAAATGCTTAAACGGTCTTGCCCCAACTTACCTCTCTGAGCTTCTGCATCCTTACTCACCCCCAGGTCTCTCAGGTCAGCTGACAAGCTGCTCCTGGAGGTACCCAGGTCCAAGAGGAAGCTCAGAGGGGGCGGGGCCTTCTCTGCCCCAGCACATTAGAGAGGCCCCCTCACTGTCCACTTTTAAAACTCATCTTAAAACCCATTTTTACTCCTTGGCTTATGACACAGTCTGACCCTGATTTTATTGTTTTAAATGTCATTTTAATTTTTTTAATTTTTATTATTTTTCTTATTCTTTAACATGTTCAATGTATCATGTTTGGCATGTCAAGTGTTCAGCTGATCTGAAAGTGCTATATAAATAAATTGCTTGCTTGCTTAATGCTGTGAATACTTTCAGAATAAAAGCACTCTGAGTACACGGAGCTGCATCCACATTTCGTGCTCTTATTTTTGAGTTAGAAACTGCACTCGGATCAGCGTGAACCTGAGCCTGCTTCTGACCCGCTCTCTGCTGTGTTCAGGTGTACTGGAACTCCCTGTCCAGGACTTACTGGGTCCACTGGCACATGGTGGAGATCCTGGGGAGTGGCAGCAGCAGTCAGGCTGAGAAGGAGACACAGGAGAAGGCCTCCTCGCTGACAGAGACGCTCAAACTCTCAGCAGGTAAGAGCCGAGCACCGTCCGCTGCTCCTTTGCTTTCCTCCGCAGTCTGAGCACGTCTCTTCTTCTCTCAGTGAGCCAGACCTTCTTCTCGAAGCCTCCCGGCGGTCTCTACTCTCTACCCTACCTGTCCGAGGGTCTGAACACGGAGCCGGTCACTCTGAGCAGAGCCGAGTGGTGGGAGATCCTCTTCTTCATCAAGAAACTGGAGCCGAAGCAGCAGCAGGAGGTCAACGGCGTCCTGCTGCAGAGCCTCGACGACCAGGTAGGAGACCCCTTCGTCTTTGAGGTTTAAAGTCAGAGCGCGGGGAGGCGGATCATTGCGGTGAGAGGATCTGACCGTCAGCTGCCTGTGACGTAAGAGTGCCGCTAAATCACCTGATGTCCTTTGATAAGAGTCGCTGCGCGAGAAGCTGAAACTTTCTCTGAAAATAAAAATCAGTCTGCAGAGTTTATCGCAGCGACGGTGAGCGAGGGCGCCTCCCAGTCACATGGTACAACCTGAGCCTGAGGGCGGGATGGCGGCCGCCTGGCTTGTCTGCGGTGAAATGTGATCCGGGTTTGTGGTTTGAAAAGCCTGATTGTCACCACGTCTGTCCTCAGGAGGCGGAGCTGGACGACTCGTCTCTCATCGGCCTGTCGGTGCCCGGAGACGTGGCCAAGAAGCTGCTGCACTACCTGAAGCAGAAGCTGCCGTCGTCGTGCCTCGGCGACCTGCTGTGCTCCCACGCCTTCACCAAACATTACCTGAAGAGAGGCGGAGCCAGCCTAGAGGACGAAGAGCTGCTGGGTAAGAAAACAAACAACACGCCTCTCGTAAGGCGCGTCCTCGACACACCCTTGTCTCACTGTGCTCGTTTGTGCGTCTCTGCAGCTGAAAGCTCGTCCGGGCTGGGTGGAGGTGGCGGAGGAGGGCAGGGCTTCTCGTCTGCCTCGACCTCCTCGTCCTCAGCGATGGGCTCCGTCTCCAAAAAGGCCAAGAAAGAGCTTCCTGTGGATTCTGGCTGCTGCAACTCGGAGACGGAGAGTGACCTACCCACAGAGGACGTCAGCAAATACCCCGACGACCTGGAGGACAAGATGAAAGGTGGGGGCGGGGCCTGTTCCAGACTTGGTTCAGGTATCGGAGCGAGCTGTTACTCACCTGTGTTCTCTTCCTGCAGTGTTTAACAACCCACGGGTGCAAGGCAAGAAGACTGTGCTGGAGAAGCTGGGGGAGGTGGTGGACGTCCTGAAGAAGGGCGGGTCGGGCTCAGACCACACCCAGCAGCTCGCCGCCGTCCTCTTCCTCACCCGGCTGGTGGAGGGGACGCAGGAGAAGAACGCCACGAGGAGTGACTCGGCCCAGACTGTACGGTGAGACACCGCCAAGCGGTTTCCTGTGTCGTCCCGATGTTAACCTTCACCCTCGGTATGTGGGCGGAGTCTCGTCACAAACGCGGTCAGATTACCTTATTTCTTTGTGGCGTTACCGTAAAAACTTGACCTGCTGCGCTGGCGGGCGCCGGTTGTGATAGTGTTTGGCAGGAAGTAGAAGGTGACGGCGTGTTACTCTCATAGGGACAAAGTGCTGAAGCTGCTGGTGGAGCTGCTCGGCTCCGCCTCCAAAGACGTGGTCGTCAGCACGCTCCGATTGACCCACCTCCTCATGCTCAAGTATGAGTGGAGGGTCTCCTTCGCCACCGAGGGTGGGGTCAAAGCCATCCTGTCCTGCATGCAGGAGTTCTCGGGCGTGGTGCATGTGCAGCAGCTGGCGCTGGCGGTGAGAAAACTTCTGGTCATTGCTCATCTGCCGCTTTGCTGTGAAATGATTCCTGACTGGCTCCTCCCCCTCTCAGACTCTGAAGGTCATCACGGGCGCCAGTAAACATGACCTGCGCAGCGTAGGCAGCAGCCCGCCGCTCTCAGAGTCAGGCACCCAGATGATGCTGGAGATCTTTGCCAGCATCGGCTCGGCCACGCCCGAGGGCTCCAGAGGCCTGCTGGACGCCATTCCGGCCGCCATCGACCTCATGCTGACCACAAAAGGGTGAGTGACTTTTGGCTCGGCGAGTACAGTTAACGCCGTGTGCTCGCCGCTCTGACACTGCCTTCTTTGTGCAGCTGCGTGCCGTCGGTGAGGAACGGGCTACTCGTCATCATCATGCTCATCTCCAACCACAAGAGCCTCGCGGAGCAGCTGGTCGCCTGCGACGTCACCAGCGTCCTGAAGAAGTGTCTGAGTCTGTCCCGCGCCGAGACCATGCTCGCCATCATTGCGCTCAACCACATCTCCATGGTGCACAAGCTGGAGAGCAAAGGTACGCACGCTTTGATCACTCCCGCCAAAGTCCATTCAGATTTGTGCTAATTTTAACTCGTGCTCGTTAACCTGCGCGCTCAGAGAGCCGCGAGCAGCTCGACTTCAAGGACACGGAGCTGCAGATGCTGGTCGTCAGTCTGAAGGAGATGACGGCCACCAAGGAGGTGATCCAGACGCTGGAGCAGCTGCTGTGTGACGACGCCTCACAGCTGGAGGAGGAGCGCAGCCAGGTGATGTGACGCACGCATGAGCACACGTGCACGCGCCGCAGGTGTGTTTTCTAACCCCGGGTCTCGTCTCCGTGCAGGTGACTCACAGTCGGGACACCTACCAGGACCTGGTCCGTCTGATTGAGCAGCACCGAGGCGATCGGGCCGTCCAGCTGTCCATCCTCAGGTATGCTGACCTCTGACCCTGCTCACCTTGATGATGAGTGATCAAAATGCTGCGTTCAGGTGCAACAGGTGCTGGTAAAGGGGTGTGCACTCCCACCGCCGCCACACGTTTATAGCTCAGTCACGTTGTGCAGCTTCTTCCTGAGTGGATGTAATATGTTTAATATTGATGAGGATGCTCTTGTCTGATTGGCTCTTTACGCTCCCGCAGGATCCTGAACAAGTTCCTGGACAACTACCAGGAGGACGTGCTGCCGTGGCACGAGAGCATCGAGCCCTGCCTGTCCTCCATGACGGCCTTCATCAATGACAGAGAGGTCAGCTAGCTCCAAGCGCGCTCACAGGTAAAGCTGCCAACATCCGCTAACCTCCCGCTTCCTCCCGCAGGTGGTGCAGCTCTTCATCCGCTTCCTGTACCGGCTGGCGTCTCTGAACAAAGACTACGCCGTGGTCATGTGCCGCCTGGGGACCAAGGAGGCGCTGGTGAAGGCGCTGGACAAGCACAGCACCAACCTGCTGCTGGTCACCGAGCTCCGAGACCTCATCACCGACTGCGAGAAGTACGCCAGCCTCTACAAGAAGATGACCACCAGCGTCCTCGCAGGATGCATCCAGGTACACGGGGGTGGGGCTTCTGTCACCTGGAGACGACCCTCGCTCGGTTGAAAGCAAACGTAAAGATTCAAACGCAAACATTCGTCTTTGGCTCTCAGCGAAGGCGGTCGCACTTTTCTCCTCCTCCTCTCCCTTAGCTTCCCTGCTTAGCCTCTTATGTCCTTGTCTAGTCTCGTGTTTTTTGTGTTACTTTTTCCTGGAACACTCTCACAGTCTGTTCTCTAAAACCTAAAAGAAGAATTATGGGTTGGATCAACTGTCTCTGAATGCAATCGACACCCCTTCGCAACGTGAAGTCTGGGCTCGGGTGAGCCTGACTGCTGAAGATATCTACCTATTCGGAACCATGGTAACAGGGTTCTGGCTGATCGGAGCTGGCTTGGCCCTGACTTATCGAAGAATTAAGGAAGCGGAACCGGCTGTTCAAACCCCCACAAGGCTGCCCGCTGGGATTGAAATGATGGGAGAGGCGTGAGTTTCTCAAAATGGGCTCATTGAGTCAGCACGGAGAAGATCTTGGAGCTTACAGCTGCCGTGAACACTCAGAATAAGATCTCTGAGTGGAAAACTGGATTACATCTGGAGGGGCTCGCTCGAACAACACCTTTGAGCGATCGATCACATCTTGGGGAAGTGCACTGCGGTCGTGAGTTCTCAGAACCTGCTCTTTGAGCAAAAACAACGACAACATCACAGAACGCAAGTATGGCGAAGCTCGCGGCGCTCCAACGGGAGATAGAGAGACCAGTGTCGGACTGTAGAACTGCTTTGAAATTCATATGAGCTGTTCGCTGTTCTGAGCTGTGTTGAAGGACACTGTCTCAGCTGAACTCTGGACACACACACACACACACACTGATAAGCACACACTCATCTCCCCTCCTTTTCCAAACGCCTTCGATGCTTGTCTCCTACCAGGGAAGATGGCGGTCGACTGGACCAGCGCAGACATGCTGCAGGACCGGATGCGCTGCCTACGCCGGCTCTCTCTTACCCTTTACCCGCCCTGTTGCTTGTCTTGTGTTTCTATGGTGTATTGATAGTCATGTGCTTTTTGTGCTGAGGTGTTTTTTCTGTTATCAAACTGTTCTCCCACTAGGAGCTCAGTCTGAGTAGTTTTTTTTCTCCTCCTCTTACCTCATGTTATGTATTTTCGTTGTTTTTTTCCTATCAGCCTACCTTCTGACATGTCTCCCCAATGTGATGTTTGTGTAAAGTTGGTCAGAAGGTTCCTTTGTAAGTGCGCATGCGCCATTAGCGTGCTGCCTGCTGTAACCCTAATTTCCTTCGGGATTAATAAAGTATTCTGATTCTAAAGTAACGTCTTCCCGTTTCCTGTCAGATGGTGCTGGGGCAGATCGAGGAGCACCGCCGCAGCCACCAGCCAATCAACATTCCCTTCTTCGACGTGTTTCTCAGGAATCTGTGCCAAGGTTGGTTAAATCCTGACGTTTCACCGCAAAACAAAAGAATAGTGAACGTCCAATCCTGGTCGAGTGTTAGGCGTGGCAGCCACCCGCCGCCGTGCGAAACGGGCGTAGCTCGCTCTAGACTGGCGTCTCAGTAACCAATGAGCATGCAGTGTGACAGTCAGAGCCGCCCCCTCAGTGTTCACTGTAGGTTGGAGAACAGATGTCCATCTTTTATATACAGTGTGTGTTATTGTTGGTGCAGATTTAAATCCAGCCCTGAGTGTCACAGGTGGAGGTGGCATCAGGTGGTGTGTTTCCTCAGAGGCTGTTGATAATCGGCGTCGCTCTGGTTTCACAGCTCGCTGAGCTCCGTGAGCAGAGCCGCTTCACGCTGCCCTCGGGTGGTGCTTTTCTACCTTAGATCTGCAGTGGGAGGGGCTGTTGGCGCACTGGGGGAGGTGTGCTTCTAACTGTCTGTGCTGCGTCCAGGGTCCAGCGTGGAGCTGAAGGAGGACAAATGCTGGGAGAAGGTGGAGGTGTCGTCCAATCACCATCGAGCGAACAAGCTGACCGACAAGAACCCGAAAACCTACTGGGAGTCCAACGGCTGCACCGGCTCGCACTTCATCAACATCTTCATGCACAGAGGCGTCATCATCAGGTAGGCGGGGCCCCAGCTCCTCGCTGTCTACTCCCGCCACTCGGGTAACGCTGACACCTGACAGTCTGTGTCTCCGCTCAGGCAACTCGCCATCCTGGTGGCCAGCGAGGACTCGAGCTACATGCCAGCCCGGATTCTGGTCCTGGGGGGAGACGAGCCCACCAACATCAACACGGAGCTCAACACGGTGAGTGCGAGTCTCCATACAATTCGTGCTGCGCTCGCTCCGAGCGTTCCCTCACCCGTCCCGTCTGCGTCTCCGCAGGTGAACGTGCCGCCGTCGGCCAGCCGCGTGGTTCTGCTGGAGAACATGACCCGGTTTTGGCCCATCGTCCAGATCAGGGTCAAGCGGTGCCAGCAGGTCAGACCAAGTTCACGTCAGCTTCCTTTAGCTTCCCGTCCTCTCGCTGACCCCTCCCTCTCTGTCACAGGGCGGTATCGACACCCGCGTCCACGGCTTCGAGGTTCTCGGTCCGAAGCCGACGTTCTGGCCCGTTTTCAAGGAGCAGCTGTGCTGCCGGACCTACCTGTTCTACAGCACCAAGGCCCACACCTGGTGTCAGGAGGTGATGGAGGACAAGACGCAGTTGTTGCAGCTCTTCAACAAGTATGAATACTGCATACAGAGTACTGCCGCTCTCTAGCATGTACAAGTACTGCAGGAAATACTGTTAAAATGACGTGACAGTACTGTAAAGTACGGCGTGTCAGAAAGCAAAGATGCAGGAAACGTTAGAGCACAAAGTTTTACATGCAAACCGTTCACGTGTACTCAGACTGTGGGCGTGTCCAATGACAGTCCAGCTCGCTGTGAGCGTGTCTGCGCAACCACGAGAAACTCGCCAAGCCGCTCTAACGGCGTTTCAGTCGTGACGGTGAACGGCTGCAGTACAAATACTCACTGAAAATATTGTTAGAGTACTAGTAAATACTCTATTACTGCATCTAGTCAAGTACAAGTATCTGGAAAAGTGTGTGTGTGTGTGTGTGTAGACTGAACAGCGCTCTAAGACATGAGCAGATGTTCGCCGATCGTTTCCTGTCGGACGCAGAGGCGGCCGAAGCCCTGGGTCGAACCTGCTGGGAGGCTCTGATCACCCCCATCGTTCACAGCATCACAGGTACACACACACACACACACACACACACACACACACACACACACACACACACACACACACACACACACACACACACACAGGTGTCTTCATGAATATATCTGTTGTGGTTTTTGTGTGTAGTTGTTCACGTTGTCTTGCTGTATTATGTATTTTGAGGTTCGTTTTCTGTGTTTGTTGATTTGATCGAAGCGTTTGGATTCGTGTCTGTAGAAACATGGTTTCCTGTCTCGTTACAGCCGCAGGTCGTCCTCGTTGATTAGATTATTAATTCTTGAATTCTGATGTTTTATTTTATGACCTCGTTAAAGCGGCCCGATGTCTGTGTGTTCCCAGAATCCTCTGCGTGCAGCCCTCTGTCCTGGTTGCTCAGTGAATATCTGGATAACTCGGAGGCGCCTCGCCGCTGTAAGAGTCGGGCCACCATCTTTAACTCCCGAGTGAGGCGGCTCACGCACCTGCTGGTCCACGTGGACACGAGCCGAGTGGACGGCGAGGAGCTCAAACCGCCCGTCAAATCCAGTGAGTCGGAGCATGTTCGTGGCTTTTATTGTGATAGCTTCCTCGTGTTTTTCCTGTCGGGTTTGTCTGATCCTGGGATTAAAGTGCATTAGTTTGTCTTTAGGTGTCAGTGGTGGTCGGGGTCAGAGGATCTTTGATGATACAAACAGGAAGTTCTGTTTTAGGAGCAATGTGTGTTTAAAAGCTGACCTTTGACCCTTTGTGGATGTTAATAACTTAAAGGAGTTTATTTTGTCTCCAGAAGGTCTCAACAGAAGCAAAGAGCTGAAGAGTAAGTAAGAGCAAAGTTCAGAGGCCACGTCTGTTCCAGGGTCCAGCTGCGCTCCTCCTCCCTCCTCCTCTCTGAGCCAATCAGGTCGAGCGTTCTTATCTGACCTCGGCCGCAGTCTCAGATCTGCCATCCTGTCTGAGTCTGGCGTCGTCACGGTGACTGTGAGGACAGTTTAAGTGACCTCACAGTGAGGGCGATGATGGCTGCTTGATGTCAGCCGTGCTTCACACTCACCTGTGACTCCAAAAAAACAGCTGGGCTTGAAGGTCCAAGGGGTCAAAGTGCACGTCAGGGTCGGCACGAGTCGGACCGATCTCACTTTTCTTCCCGCCGTTGAAACAAAAGCAAAACACAAGCTCGTCCGCCATCTCCGGGTTGGACCGTAACGCCGTCGTATTTCATCCTGAACAAAAGAAAACGCAGACTCAACCTGACGACTTCTGAGGGTGACCACCCGCCATTCAGGCCACGGGGACGCCGTCGCAGGTCGTTCATGGGGAGAGTTTAAAAAGATTTCAGTCTCCATAAAAACGGTGATCTCGTGTCGTCCTTTTGGTTATCATTGTCGGCATTCAAACATCCCACAGAGCTGATGATTGGGCGGAGCTTAAACCTCTGGGGTCGATGGACACCTCGGTGCATCAAAATCACATGACCAATTTAAGACGACACAGCTACAAGATGCAGCGACTCTGAGTCTCAATTTCAACTTGGGTCGAAAGTAGAGCTGGGCGATTTTTTTCATATCACGATATGTTTTTTTCATTTCAGGCGATAACGATATCTATCACGATATAAGCCAAATAACTATATTTGTAAGATTTAAATGTGCCGTTGCTCACAAGTAAAATGTGAAATTATCAGCAGCTTTTTTTTATTTAAATATTTATTTCCCATAATAAGTTCAACAGGGTAGATGTACTTAAGGAACATGAGACTTTTTCAGATAAATAAAGGCAAATATTGCAAACTACACAAAAGACAGCCGCTAAAGCGTTTAAGTTTCAAAATAGAACAAACGAAACAGACCAAACTGTCAATTCCACTTAGAAACAAAATATTAATTCTAAAAATAAATCTTAGTTTGTTTTACAGAAGAACAGACAAAACTGACTAACTTTTGTCAATATCAAATAAACTGAGAACTAAAAGGAAATTCTCAATCTCTCCTTGTTGTATAGCTGAGCTTTTCAAACAGTTTTAACAGTTACTTTAGTCTGACAAAAGCCGAATGACGAATTAGCGCTTCCAGTCAGAGACTGAGCTGCACCGCTTTATTGTATTTCCAGACTTGCTTTCGGCACATTTACAGTGCAGCTGCTCTGTTTGACTTGAAATAGCAGAAATACCTTCACACTACGGAGCTTCTGTGGCTCTTCCGTTGGACAATCTCTCCGGCGTTGGAACCATCATCTGTTTTCTCTTCGGTAACCTTCGGTCACGCTCGGTTGATTTCTCTAGTCGGCACACTCATTTCCTCCATCACCCGGCGGCACGGCGGCTGGCTGCTTCCCAAACAAATACACGTGTGCGGCTTGGCACTTGTGCTGTACGTAACAAGTCACGTGACGCTGTGATTGGTTCGGCTCTGCGCTACTTAATTTGGATTGGCTGTTCTTCTTTCTTTCTTTTTTTTCCTGGTTTGATCCCGCAGCGAAGCTGATGGTTTCACGCTGGTTTCTTAGTGTTTCAGGGTGTTCGTGATGGTTTTAAGACGTTCAGGATGTCAGCAGTTTGAGCTCCTGTTGGCACCTGAGTGACTCTGAGCAGGTGTAGGTGAGCGTCTGAGGTAAAACGGGTCGGTTTGTCTTCAGCACCGGCGTGCGTTTTGAGCAACAGCACCAATCCGATGTGTTTATACATCTGATGGGTCAGATGTGTTTATGCGTATCTGAAACATCAACCTTGATCTGAAAAATAAATGCCACAGATTCGTTGTGCACAGTGATGCGGTCGGTGTGAACAGCCGTGTTACGAATAGATAAAATATTTGCATTGAATTTACACGTCTGCTGTTTAAAACCTCACAAAGGAAACATCAAAGACTCGCCTGTTCCTGTTTGTCCGTCAGATCAGAACATACTGAGAGGAGGTGAAGCTTGTTGTTTGTGAGTCGGATTTAAAGTGAACCCTTCGGTTTTTAAACGGTGGTGTGGCGCTCTGTTTTGGTGCAGTACCCCCTCCTCACCAGCAGAGGCAACTAAAACGTGCCTGAGAGGGCGGCGGCGCTGCAGTCGGACCCTGTTAGTTTGGTTTTTACGCTTTGACATTTCATGCGTCCACATGAGGGCAGGAAGCTGGTGTCGCCCCCTGCTGGCTGCTGACACAAGTTTGTAGCTGCTGATGCTGGGGGAGGAGTCTGACAGGCAGCCCAAAAGCACCCGTTTTTGTTAGAAATGCCTCCAGCAGGCGGCGCCCGGCGACCTTCCTCGTCCTCATCTGAACCGACTGAAACATTCGGCTTCCTTCAGACGCGCCCGTCCTCCATCTCGTTTTCCTTCAGTTGGGCCGCTCTTTGTTTACTTCCTGTTCCCATCGCAGTCCCTGACGCGGTTTCTTTTCAGTGGGAAAAGAAGGACCGACGCTCGGCTTCACTTTTCGTTTGTGGCTGTCACGCTCTCATCTCACCTCCCCGTCACTCATCGCCGGCGAGCGTGCGCTCCCCAAATCCGACGTCTGAAATGTCGTCTTCTTGCAGATGGTAAAGAAGGAAAGAACAAAGAGGCATCCGCAGCCGCCTCCACCTCCTCCTCCTCATCGTCCTCAGCCAAACCCAAAGTGAAGAGCAGCAGCAGCATCGCGGGCATCGCCCTCTGTTGGCAGGGAGTGGTACAACGCCAGGTGAGTCAGCTGTTCAGTGTTGTTTCCTGTTTGAGGGTTTAGATGCTAATGAGCTAAACGTGACTCCTTCCCCTCAGGTGAAGAAGTTCCTGGAGGCGAGCTGCACTCTGCCGGACTTCGTGGAGCGATATCGGCGGCTCTACCTTCGGCTGAAGAACGCCATGGAGGAGCTGTTTGGCCAGCAGACCGCCTTCGTCCTTGCCCTGCGGCACGGTTTCTCCACCGCCCTGTTGCAGCTCTCCATCCTCAGAGCTATGCACGTGAGTGCCTGCGCCGCTGCGCGTCCGTCCAAGCTCTCGTGTTCTCGGTGCACGGTGTGACGTTGTTGTGTTTGCTGCACGCAGGTGAGCGAGCGCTTCGCTCAGTACATCGATCAGATGATCCAGGCGAGCGGCATGGCATCCGGCTGTGTGGAGACTCTGGAGCGGCTGCAGCAGTTTCTGGAGCCGATGCTCTTCCTGTCAGGCCTGGAGCTCGCCAGCACCTTCGAGCACTTCTACAGGTGCGATCACACGAGCGCCGTGCTGCGCCGAGCCTCCCGCGTCTCTAACGCTCACAGTCTCTCGCTCTGTGCAGGTACTATCTGGGCGACCGGCTGCTGGCTCAGGGGAACGTGTGGCTGGAGCACGCCGTGGCGGAGCAGATCGGCAGTTGCTTCCCGAGCCGCTTCCCACAGCAGATGCTGAAGAACCTGAGCGAGTCGTCCGAGCTGCAGCAGGAGTTCCACCTGTACCGGCTGCAGCAGCTGGACCGCAGCTTGCAGGAGCACGACCAGGTTGCATGTCTGCTCCGCCCCCAGGTACCCATCGCCGCCTGCAGGGTCTCATTGTGTGTCCTTGTTTCTGCAGGTGATGGAGGAGGAGTGGGCGGAGTTGGAGGAGGAGGCGGAGGTCCAGGTCCTGGTTCTGTCGCCGCGCTGCTGGGCCGTCTCTTCACTCTGCTACCTGGACGAGCCGGCGAAGCACCTCCCCCTGGAGCTCTGCTCCTACCTGAACCAGTTCACCCAGTTCTACACCCACAGTGAGCACCTCCACCCACATCAGCACCCCTATTTCCAACAGCAACCAGTATTACCTCACGCTAACTGACGGATATTACTTCCTGTCTGCAGGTCAGTCCATATACGGTCTGTGCCACTCCAAGCCTCGGCGGCTGCAGTGGACGTGGCTCGGGCACGCCGAGCTGCAGTTCGGCGGCTGGACGCTGCACGTCTCTACGCTGCAGATGTTCGTGCTGCTGCAGTTCAACAGCCAGCAGGTAGGTCCTCGTGGTCTCGCTGCCCGCCGCGTTTGTGGCATTGGAGGAGTGAGTGCGTAGTTTGATGTACGTGTGATGTTTGTGTTTCTGTGCGTCTGCAGGAGGTTCGAGTTGACGCTCTGCTGCAGGCAAGCGGCCTCTCCGCCACCGTGCTGCTGCACGCTCTGCTGCCTCTCATTGGCGAGGGCGGGCCGCTGACCTGCAGCCACCCAGACGACCCCACCCGAGGTCAGACCCGCCTCACAAACGCACACGTGTGTCAGCACCGCTGTCCGTCTTTTCTGACTTTGCATCTCTTTGCATCAGGTGTGCTGCAGCTGAACGAGCAGGTGGCGTCTCGCAGCCAGGAGGGCGCGCCGGCGTCTGTGTGGCTGCTGCCCAAACAGACGTATCTGAACGTGGACGAGGACGCGGCGGGCACACTGGAGAGGAAGAGGAACTACATCTACTGCCTGATCGTCCACATCATGAAGCAGGAGAAGGAGATGCATATCGACAACCTCGTCTTCAAGGTCAGAGGTTGCCTGCCTCCTTCAAAATAAAAGCCCGTGGTGGCATGTCAAGGCTCTGACCTGCGCCGCTCTCTTTCAGGTGCTGGACTCGTGTCAGAAGCAGGAGGCGTCGCGCTCGCCGGGCTCGGGCCGTTTCAGCTGCAGCACCAGCGATGTCCTGTCCTGCATCATGCACGTCATCAGCAAGGGCTGCATCCGCCGCAACGACGAGAACCCGCACATTGTGGAGTTCGTCCCCGAGGACCCGTCCACGCCGCAGAAGGGCCAGGCCCAGTTCTCCTTCAGCCGGGCCGACATCGGGAAGGACGCCACCTCCAACAGCCGGGCCGACATCAGGTGTGACCGCGACCTCTGACTTCACACGTGGGTTCAGTCTGTCAGTCTCAGCTAAGCCACGCCCTGCTTAGCCAGGAGAGCGCTTTGTTTTACAGACGGCGTTTCTGAACCAGAAGAATTCTCATTTCTTCTTCTTTGACTTTATTTTATTCACTCACGTCAGCTTTTTTTTTTTTTTTTTTTTTTTTTTTTTTTAATAGCACTTTGTCTTTATTATCATCCAATAGGAATGCAGTTGTAGAAAAGGGCGGTGCTGGGGCCTGCGGCGGTCTGCCAGCCTCAAACGAGGCCACAGACTCGAATGGGCTGTAAATTTCGATTGATTTTGATCGGCTCGACGTTTATCTGATCGGCCGATCGATCAGAAATCGGACGTCTGTGAAACGAAGCTGCTGAAACAGATCAGACACGATGTTGTAAATATTGTTTGACCTTTGACATCTTTGACATCTGTTCACATCACACCGAAGCCGAACTCGACTTTAAGGAGAAGAAGAAAATGAAGTTTAAACGCTGATTTTGTTTGTTCTGATTTAAAATGCTGATTGACGAGCAAACCTTTGACAAATAAACTGATGAGGATCAAACTGAGCTGCAGTGATTCTTCAGAGCTCGTCTCTGTGCGTACAAGTCATCGTTGGATTAAAGAGGACGTGAAACGCTACACGCAGGCCCACGGAGCCCTCAGGCTCTCACAGCTGTAACGCTGGCTGTGAACCTGGGTTTAAAAACAGGCGTAGCGCGATCTTCTGTCAGGTTGGCGCATGACGTTGTGTGGTTGGCACATTATGATGTCAAACCTTTTAAGCTTTGTCTTGAAGCTGTTATTTCTTCAACCCAGGTTCACAGACAGTTGCACCTGCGTCAGTGTCTGAGGGCGGGGCTCCGTGGGGTAAATGAGGCTTTGCGTGTAGCGCTTCACGTCCACGTTAAACTGTGAGGGTATCAGGACCTGAGCTGCTCTCCTGCAGCGGCTGGTTTCAGCTGTTTATCAGCTGCACGTGTTCCGGTCCGGCCCTTACGGTTGACAGCGCCGCGAATGAGAGAGGCGGCAGAATGAAACGATGGACAGACGCGGCTGCTGTCAGACCGTGGGTCATTTCCACGTTCCTCTGACTATGAGAGTCGGTGAGGGTGATAACAATGAGACAAAACATGTCAGGACCAGAAACTGAATAATGAGTGTGAGGAGCGCACATGCTGATTACAGGTATTACACTCACTGCCATGCAGTCGGTGGAGGCGCACACTCCTGTCCCAGCACAGGTTACACAAACAGTCGTACTCTTTACAAGGGAGCCATCAGAGACGGAGACTTTCAAAAGAACGTAAACCTTCACAAACGCCTTTACTTTTTTAAACAGTGTAAGTTTGACTGGTCTGCAGGGGGCGCTGTCTCGGTGCCATCTGTTAAATGGTCTGGAGCTGGAGGCGTTTTGGTTCTTACGTTTGTTAGTCATTCAACGAAATGACTCCCAGTTTTCTTCACTGTGAAATAAAAACTGAACTAAGATTGAATGTTAAACACCGATGTGAGCGAGGTGCAATACCACTATGTGCCACAGGAGGGGGCAGTGAGTCAGTGTTACCTGTATTAAACCAGGTGAGTTTTCAAAGTAAAAGCACCAGTTTGGAGAGTCTTAAACTGATACATTAACTAAAAAATAATCGTATTCATTGATTATCAAAGAGTCCTCCTGCAGCGTGTGAGTGTTTCAGGTGTTTGTGTGTTGCAGTCTGGTGCCTGTGCCGCGGCAGTTCGAGGATGGCGTTCTTGATACCGTTCTTTTCTCGATGGGTCGCACGATGACGCAGGATGAAGTTCGTCAGCTGATGCAGAGGACGGTTCAACAGGTGAGATGCTGCATAGGCGTATGTGAGGTCAGAGGTTCATGAGGCGTAGTCTCCACCCCCTCAGGTGCGTTAGATGACCTCTCTGTCCTCTCAGGTTGCGGGGACGCTGAGTCTGGACCTGGACCGGGCCGAGCACCTCCTCATTCACTGTAAGTGGAACGTGGACTTGGTGGTGCAGCGGTACACCGACGACCCTGACGCCATCATCGTGGCTGCCGGACTCAAGTTCCTGAACCCTCAGACGCCGCCGAGCCCCGCCTCCACCTGCCCAGTGTGCCTGAGCCCGTGGAGCTGCGGCATGGAGCTGGTGCCTTCGCTGAGCTGCATGCACTACTGCTGCAGGGTCAGCGCCGCTCTCAGTTCTTGATGTTTGCCGTGGGCGTGGCGTGAGTCTGACTGTGTGTGTGTGTGTGTGTGTGTGTCGTGCAGTCGTGCTGGCAGGAGTACCTGACGGCGAGGATCGAGCAGAACCTGATCATGAACTGCAACTGTCCAATCACAGACTGCCAGGCTCAGCCCACCTCCCAGTTCTTCCTCAGCGTCCTCACTGACAAGGACACCATCGCCAAGGTAACACACCACCTGACCACCCTCAGGTTTGCCTGTCCCGTCTATGGGTGTTAAGCTCCTCCTTCTCCGCAGTATGAGAATGCCCTGCTGAGAGGCTACGTGGAGTGCTGCTCCAACCTGACGTGGTGCACCAACCCTCAGGGCTGCGATCAGATCCTCTGCAAGGAGAACACGGGCAGCATGGCGACCTGCTCAAAGTGCTGCTGGTCCTCCTGCTTCAGCTGCAACTTCCCTGAGGTCAGAGGTCACCTTACATGCTTTCAGTTTATAGGTGAAGCTGTAGTTCCCACGGGAACCTTGTTTTACCACAGATGGATAAAAAGATTACCTAAACCTGCATTCTGCCTAGTGTCAAGCAGGGGGCAACTCCCCTGACGTCTGATTGGCTAAAGTCTCCTGGTCACCTGATCTGGTCCTTCCAGGTCTAACTGAATAAAACATGAAGATTATGCAGAGCATCCTTGTTGGCAGATGCTTTGTCAGTCAAATCCCGTTAGCCAATGAGTGAGCGGCTCCATAGTCAGGTGACCTTCTTGCTCATCGCACCAAACGAAGCACAGAAACCAGTGGGTGCATGTCCATCTTCTCTATACAGTCTGTGTGTTGTAGTCGCAGCACCTGGGTTTCGGGTGACCGCTGCTGCGTTAAACCGTTTAAAGGCCAGGTATGTAAACATGCGACCGCTCCCCCCACCCCTCCTGCAGGCACACTACCCAGCGAGCTGCAGTCACATGTCCCAGTGGATGGACGACGGCGGTTACTACGAAGGGATGAGCATGGAGGCTCAGAGCAAACACCTCGCCAAGCTAATCTCCAAACGCTGCCCGAGCTGCCAGGCTCAGATCGAGAAGAACGAAGGCTGCCTGCAGTACGAACGCACACAGACACACACACACACAGACACGCACGCGCACAGACGTGCTGGTAACGGTGATGTCGATGACCTCTCTCCTCAGTATGACCTGTGCCAAATGTAACCATGGCTTCTGCTGGCGCTGCCTGAAACCATGGAAACCAACACACAAAGATTACTACAACTGCTCTGCCATGGTTGGTCCACATGCTGTCATGTGACTACACAAGTCAGCCAATCAGAACAGCAAACGGTGTGTTAAAGGTGTTATCTGTCTGCAGGTGAGTAAAGCGGCGCGGCAGGAGAAGAAGTTCCAGGATTACAACGAGAGATGCACCTTCCACCATCAGGCCAAGGTATGACTACAGACCATCAAAGAGCACCGCTGTGGCCCGCTACAGGCCGTGCAGTCAGTACAAAGAGCGCATAAGTATAAATTTGTCAATGCGATAACTCAAGGTGATGTAGGCGCTTCAAATGAACCCCACACCTGCATCTGCTGAAACCCCCGGCCCAGCTCAGGGGTCGGGGGTCTGAAAATACTGTGGATAGCTCCAGGCTAAGGCTGCCGCTGTATTTAATCACACAGTGACGTAGCTGACAGACCGGGTGGTGTCTGTGTGTGTGTCTGCAGGACTTTGCCATCAACCTGGAGAACAAAGTGTCGTCCATCAATGAGGCTCTGCAGATGAAGTCTCTGACCTTCGTCATCGACGCCTGTAAAGTCCTCGCTCAGGCTCGGAAGGTATCGTCCCCGTCGTCTTCCTCCTCCTCAGCCGCTCCCGCTGAGGTCGGAGCGTGTCCTTACCGTGCCCTCCGCTCTGTCTGCAGGTGCTGGCCTACTCCTGCGTGTACAGCTACTACAACCAGGAGACGGAGAAGATGGACGTGATGGAGCAGCAGACCGAGGCTCTGGACTTGCATACCAACGCTCTGCAGATCCTGCTGGGTGAGGCTCCCATCCTCTGATCCTCGTCAGGCCTGTGTGAACTGGTCTCACTGGTGTGTCTGCTGGTTTTCTCTCCTCAGAGGAGACTTTGCTGCAGTGCACTGACCTGGCCTCGTGCGTGCGGCTGCTGAAACCCGAACACCTGAACACTGGACTCGAGCTGATCCGCCGCATCCAGGAGCGCCTCCTCGCCATCCTCCAGCACTCCACCCAGGTACTCGCTCCAGAACCAGTTCGGTCTATGTGAGACCGAGCTGGTGAGCCGACGAGCGTTACGGCTCTGATGACAGAACTGGGAATGCGCCTCAGCCCACATCACGGAGCCGATTCCTCTGACAGGCTTAGATGATCCTGCAGGGGGCGGAGTGAAAATCCATGCACGCTGTAAAAAGTTAGCTCTGCACGTTTTCAGTCTTTGACATTAAATCCAACGCTTTAAAAAGATCTCGCCACGGCGGTGGCTCAGCGTGTTTGGTGCTGCAGATTTGTTGACACTTCCTGCGGTGGCGTTTACATGTGAAGAACGGCGCAGGCAAAGTCGCTTCACTCTGAACTTTTTATTTCTGAGGCAGACGCGTTCACTACTCTCAGAAAATACACGGCCCGTAAACCATGGACAGCGTTTACTGTCAGAGCTGTGACGGCGAGCTCCGCCTCCACGCGCTGTCGTGTCATGACCACATTAGTCAGCAGCCTCAGTCAACGATAAAACCTATCAAAATAAAAGCTTCTTTAGCTGTTTCTTCAGAGGGCGCTGCTCTGACCTCCTGACAAAATGCGATGGGATGTTCTGTGATGTCATCGCTGCACTGCTTCCTGTTTCTGTCTCCAGGACTTCCGTGTTGGATACCAGTCCAAGGGCAGCCAGGAACCAGAGTCCACTCAGTCCTCCAACCTGTCCAACCACGCCGACGCCAACAAAGTGTGAGTAACGCCTCCTGCAACGTAAAGCGAGGTTGAAGGTGCGTACTGAGCGCGCTCTCTCTCTCTCACGCAGGTCCAAGTCGGACCGGGCGTCCCACTCCGGAGACTCTGACAACAACAACTACACGGGCGAGGAGGGCGGCGACGAAGCAGAGGATGACGATGACGAGTACGATGAAGAGTACGTCCCAGAGTGGCACGAGGACTACGACGAGGACGACATCGACGAGGACGACTTCTTCTCCGACGACGACGAGTCCGAGAACCTGGAGAGGGACTTCAGCCCCTTCGACTGACTCGGGTTTAAGAGCCTGAGGGCGACCCAGGTGCGGCCGTGACCCCGCACCCTCTGCACCGCCATCCAACGCCACCTCAGGATGTCTGCGAGGGCGCTGGGACAGACGTCCTCCTTCATCTCGAACACAGCTGCACCCGCTTTCTCACTTCTGTATCTCACTTCCTGTATTTGCATTCAGAGTACGGAAGCAGGCGAGGGTCAAAATCAGGAACGAGCTCTGAGTTTAAAAAAAAGATTTTTACGTCCTGACGTGACCACTTCCTGTTTGTTCGCTCTTTAAAACTAGAACGAGCCCGTTTGGATTAGTTCAAAGGTCTTTGTTTTAATTTGGTTAACCCCAGTTTAACTTGTGCTGACTTAAACCAGTTTAAACCAGTTCACGCTGGTTTTCCTTTTTCTCCTCCCTTCAGAAAAATAGTTCACGTGATATTTTTACGACTTCTGATTGGAGCTTCCGGCTCTGATTTTGGTTTGTTTTCCGGCCGGCCTCGGTCCTGCTTCCGCACCTGAATCATATGTTTGTTTTCCTGAGGAGTAAAGGTGAGAAACCGGACGGCGCCCCGGAGTCGGACTGCCGGTCCGGCTCTCGCTCGTCCTCCTCATCGCGTTCTGCCTTCGGTTCTGCGTTTGACGGACGTTGCCTTCGTTAGTGAGTGAAGAAACTCACTTCCTGTCTCCGTGTTTGGAGGTTTTTATGTGTTCTGAGAGTCTGCGGTTTCTATGCATCTGAAAAAATCGATGCTGATGGTTCTGATGGGTCGAGCAGAACTGATCTCTAATGTATCACTGCAATAAACGAGCGATCGCTTCTCATTTGCTAAGCAAAGACTGTCCCCTGCTCCGTTTGACGCTGTTGGACGACTTCCTGCCCTGCGGGATTCTGGGATGTCGCCTGAGCTCCAGTTTTGCTGTAATTTTGAGAGATCTTATATTCATATTATTGATGTTCTGAGATGCTTTTCTGGTTTCTTTATTGGAGTCGAGCGACTTCCGCTAGCAAAACTAAATAAAAGCTTTTTCTGCTACTCTTCAGTTACTTTCAAATGTAATTAGATTACATGCCAACTGTGTCTTCAGTGTATTTTTTTTTTGGGGGGGGATGGGGGAGATTCAGGCAGTTGTACTTTAACCTCAAAGCTTGTCAGTCTTTAGTGTTGTGAGGACACCAAGGATCCTCCCACATCACGCAGAGAGAATGTAAGAGTAAAATCTCATGATACAGGTTTCACCTGTGAGGTCGTGACTTCCTCAGGTCGTCCACTAACCACAAGATCCACATCCCAGTTTCCTGGGGTGCGGTACAAGGTGAGAGAGAGGGTTAGGATACTTGGCACTCCCACTGTTATTCTGTAATTATTTTTTGTTCCATTCTTGTTTTGTACCCATCAGCAATTCTGCTGTATTTGCACCCTAATATATGAGAACGGAGGAAAACTTACATAAGTCTGTTTCGTGGAACGTTACTAAAGTAATAAATGCATGAACTAGTTTTTCAGCGTCACTCTGAGACAGGATATTTCTAACTTTAGAGATGTTGCACAAATGGAAGAACGCAGTCTTACATATTTGTTTAATATGTGCGTTGAAGGACATGTCCTGGTCAAACATGACTCCAAGGTTCCTCACAGCGTTACTGGAGGCCAAGGTAATGCCATCCAGAGTAAGAATCTGGTTAGATACCATATTTCTAAGATTTTCAGGGCCGAGTACAATAACCTCAGTTTGATCTGAATTAAGAAGCAGAAAGTTAGCGGCCATCCAGGTCTTTATGTCTTTAAGACATTCCTGCAGTTTAACTCATTGGTGTGTGTTATCTGGCTTCATGGACAGATAGAGCTGGGTGTCATCAGCATAGCAGTGTAAATGTATGCTATGTCTTCTAATGATGCTGCCTAAGGGAAGCATGTATAATGTAAACAGAATTGGTCCTAGCACTGAACCCTGTGGAACTCCATAATTAACCTCAGTGTGTGAAGAGGACTCTCCATTTACATGCACAAACTGGAGTCCGATATCAATCAATCAAGGCTTTATTCACCACGTGCAGGTTGCTCTGCAGTGAAATAGGACCCCCACACACACACACACACACACACACACCTTACACAGACATCACATGGGGATACAGGTCGGAGATCGGTAGCGTTACAGAAAGAAAACACTGAAATGTACACTACAATAGGAAAGTACAAGAGGAAAAAAAAGAGACCTCATGCTGGGCTCCTGGGAGGACAGCATGAGAACAGGAAACAAAAAAACTCCTCTACACAAAAAGCACATAAATGTCCACAGCACAACATTATGGAACACATGACAAGCCACAGGGTCGGGTGGGGGGTGAGGAGTCATCCGAAGCAAACACAGCAGCCATCCTGCCCAGCGCTACCATTCCAGCGCAGGCTCAGACCTGCCGTGTTCCCAGGAGGGCACAAGCATCGAAGGCGTTTGGAAAGGGAGGGGGGATGAGTGTGTGCATATCAGTGTGTGTGTGTGTGTGTGTGTGTGTGTGTGTGTGTCCAGAGTTCAGCTGAGACAGTGTCCTCCTCCCTGCCAGGCTAAGTAAACAGTCTTCCAGCCAACCCAGGTGGCCTTGCATGGAATGGGAAGGAACAGACTAAACACAGTTGTTATCAGGGTGTTGTTGTTCAGCTCCAGCCTTGAGACCGCAGCTGGCGCTGAGAGGGTCTCCGCATGAAGTGATGGTGCTTTTTACTTTAGTGCGAACAACTCATATGAATTTCAAAGCAGTTCTACAGTCCGACACTGGTCTCTCTATCTCCCGTTGGAGCGCCGCGAGCTTCGCCATACTTGCGTTCTGTGATGTTGTCATTTCTTGTGCTCAAGGAGCCGATTCTGAGAACTCACGGCAGTGAGCCTCCCCGAGATGTCATCCAGTCTGCGCTCAGAGATCTTATTCTGAGTGTTCACGGCAGCTGTAAGCTCCAAGATCTTCTCCGTGCTGACTCAATGAGCCCATTTTGAGAAACTCACGCCTCTCCCATCATTTCAATCCCAGCGGGCAGCCTTGTGGGGGTTTGAACAGCCGGTTCCGCTTCCTTAATTCTTCGATAAGTCAGGGCCAAGCCAGCTCCGATCAGCCAGAACCCTGTTACCATGGTTCCGAATAGGTAGATATCTTCAGCAGTCAGGCTCACCCGAGCCCAAACTTCTCGTTGAGAAAGGGGTGTCGATTGCATTCAGAGACCAGTTGATCCAAGCCATAATTCTTCTTTTAGGTTTTAGAGAACAGACTGTGAGAGAGTTCCAGGGAAAAGTAATACAAAAAACACGAGACTAGACAAGGACATAAGAGGCTAAGCAGGGAAGCTAAGGGAGAGGAGGAGGAGAAAAGTGCGACCGCCTTCGTCAAGAGCAAGAGCAGAAGATATGATACAAACCACTGCAGAAGAAGCCAAACCTGGACCTGGCACTTCACACAAATTATACACCTATTTCAAAACCTTTGATGGCTAAAATATAAGAAAAGCTTGTTGAGACACAATTTAGGAAAGTTGGAGAAGCACAACATTCTTGATAACTCTCAATCTGCCTTTACAAAGTTGCATTAAACTGAAGAGCTCTAGTTAAAGTCACAAACAACCTTTTGCAGGGTGTCTCCTCAGTCCTTCTTTTGCTGGACCTTAGCTCAGCCTTCAATAACTTTAATCATCAAATGTTAATCCACAAATGAAACCACATGATCAGGATGTCTGGATTTCCAGATTTTTGAAGCTTAACGCAGAAAACACAGTCTGTAATTATTGTCCAGAATATCTGAGGTCTTTTCTCGTCCACTGTAAAGGCTAATGCTCTGAATATTGGCTTCACTCTTTGAAATATCTGACCCAGTCTCCATCCATTCTCTTCTGCTTATCCTTGTCACAGTTTGGAGGGGGGGAACTGGAACCTATCCCAGCGACCATAGGACGAGAAGCAGGGTACACCTTTGACAGGTCATAGGTGACCTCATGTCATACTGTGTATGGTTGTGTGTGTGACAAATAAAATTTGAATTTGAATAAGGTTTCTGAGTTCATGTTTGTTGTTTTACTTGATTGTGGTCATATGACTGTGTTTTATTAATGCCTTTAAAAGACACTTTAAATATACATTACTTATTTAATCACTCTTGCAAAAATGTTTCAGATTTAATTTACTAACATAATTTCTTAATATTCTGTATCTGTTAAATTGAGAGCGTGTCCAAGGAGCCGCAGGCCTCAGTTTGTCTGTGATTGGCCAATCAAACTATTGAACATCTCTAAGACTTTCTCTGGTCCTTAAATAACATCCTCGGCCAGTCAACATCTTTAACAACATTGAAAGTGTTTAAAAATCCTTCTACAGTCATTTTCTGTCCCAGTTTAATGACTTTTCATGCTTATTGAAAGTTGAGATGACTGAAAGCTGCAGGGACTGAGCCTGCTTTTCAAAATAGATCTGCTGCATCAGTGAAAATTAAACCAGTGCATGTAGCCACCTTAGTACCATTAGATTTACAAGAAACTCTTCATTTGTTTTTAAATTCAGTCTGAATTTTCTGATTTATTCAAAAATGTTTCAGATAAAAGGAAGTTGGATATTGGTTTGATTTGTTTATTTTATGAGGCCATGACTGAAACCTCGCAGGGTAAAACAGCTTGGAGCACAAAGTCTGCATGAAGAAATCATCGCAGAAGGTGCTCTGGGATCTGATAAATAAGAATACTTTGGAGGGGATCTTATTCTAATCAATTATAAATTGATACATACATGAAGGACAAACGGGGATTTTTCCGACAGCAGCAGAAGCAGTAGTTGAAGTTTCGTCCTCCTGGCAGTAGGGGGCGGTAAAATGTCCCGCGGTCAGTTGGAGCGCAGAGCAGCGGAGGAAGCCTGAAGTTCGGCTGTGATTGTTTCACTTTCCGCTGAAAATATCTGAAGAAAGTTCTCCGCACGGCCGCGTCAGATGATCGGCTTTTACCCTGAAAAGGAGCGCTAACAGCGGGACCCTCCGGTGAGCTTGGCGGTGTTGGTTGATTAGCCGGCTAACCCCGCTACTAACTTAGCTTAGCTTAGCCTAGCCTCCTCGCCGTCTCGGGGCTCCGGCGCTGCCGCAGACCCTTGCCCACCTCCCGCTACACCCTTCAGTGAACACGGACATCCGCCTGACATGGGTCCCCCTGGCTGGGGACCTCCACCTCCTGGGGGCTGGGGCCCTCCACCGCCTGGTGGATGGCCTCCGCCGCCCGATGACTGGACCTGATAGGCCCTCCGCCGCCCGGAGGATGGGGTCCGAGAGGGCCGCCTCCTCATGGTGCATGGGGCCCCAGAGGACCGCCGCCCCCGGACTGGGATCCAAGGGGACCGCTGCCTCCGGACTGGGGTCCAAGAGGACCGCCACTCCCAGACTGGCACGGCCGAGGACCCCCACCCCCTGACTGGGATCCACGGGGACCTCCTCCCCCTGGCTGGGGACCGGAGGACTGGGACTGGGACCGTCGTGCTGATTACTGGAGACCCCTACACCCAGAGGCTGACTGGAGGGGACCCGACCGGCCTCTCCCTCCGCCAGGATGGGGTCATCCTGGCTGGGATCCGGAGGGTCCCCTGAACCATGGGGCCCCGAGCCCATCCCTCCTGCACCCATACCCCCTGTCGCCCCCCTGTGGTTCCCCCTGTGCCCCCCCCTGTGGTCCCAGCTGGGATTCCCCCTGTGCCTACGGTTGGGATGCCTCCCCCGGACCCCGCAGCCTTTGTACCCCCAAGCTGCATACCTCCCTTTGGATACCCACCAGCCTACCCTCCGCCCGGCTGGACAGGAGAGGTGAGAGCTCAGCAGAGTCCACACAAACACTGCCTCAGTCACAGATATCGATCACCGATTATTGATTATTGTGTGTTAGCTGTGATAAAAGCGCAGTTTATGTCAGAATAAGTGAATGTTTGTCTGGTTTCAGCCTGTGGTGGAAGAGCCCATGCCCAACCCTCCACCTGACCAGCCCGAGTGGGTGAGTCCTGATCCCCGAGGACAGAGCCGTGCTCTAACCTGCAGCTGTGTGACAGATGTTGGTGATACAGTGATG